ATATATATATATATATATATATATATATATAGAGAGAGAGAGAGAGAGAGTATAATCAAATGTATAAGCCTTCTGATAGAATTATAATTAACATAATCGAGGTTATCATATGATGGATAAGAAGATGAGACATACATCTAACTTAGACGAGACATTCGATCTAACATTTTGATGATTACAGAATTTATTCGATTTAATTTCTTCACCTACGACAATAAATGGTAGCACAGATGAATAGTAGCTTCGATGTTAATCCATTAACATTACTAGATACAAAAGATCATGGTGGGTTTATGATGAAGATAAATGACCTAACACCTTTCTCGCCTAGGCAAGAATCTTAGGGTCCAAAATTTCTTGGCTTCATTGGACATGTCTTCTTTCCATGGAAGCAATCATTTTGCCAAGTGATCTATCTAATTTGCGTATCCTTTGATGAGGAGTAGTCCTTCAACATTGGTGGATAATGGGGTCACAATGTCTCTTGTTTTGATTTTGGTTTTCATTCCAAATCCTACTTTGTTCTTTAAGCTCGGATTCATGTTCTTGAGAAATTATGAATTCAATGATTCATAGTATTTGTCAATGCCTTATGGAGTTCTACATAGTATTTATCATTATTAAGGGAGCATAAGAATTAAGATTGTACAAGTTTCATCCAAGACATAAAAGATTAAGCATAGAGATTAAGCCAATAGTGTATTTATTTGGATTTTGCCACCCACAAAAACCTTTCGACAGCCATCGCTTTATATATATATATATATATATATATATATATATATATATATATATATCCTATCCGGTCGTCATCATGTCATCATCATCACCGTCATCAATGCATCTCCACCCAAACCAAGAAGAGAGACAAACAAAAGAAAAAAGGCATCACGTAGAAAAATACATGGGAAAGTTAGAGAGAGAGAGAGAGAAAGAGGAAAAGATATGTGCACTAAGGAGGAGGTGAGCTGTTGTTGTGTTTACAGGTAGATAGAGAGAGAGGGGTTGATGATAATGCATGCATGAGTTTGCACTTGCATTGATTACAAAATTGTCTCTTTTGTTGTATGGGAAGCAGGTGAGGCAGCGAGTCGATGATGTCGGGAGCCATGCGCCCCCGGGGGTGGTGGTGGGGCACCGGCGGGGGGCCAGACCCCTGCCGTGTATCGAGCACCGGAGATCCTGCGGCAGCGGCTAAATGCGAGTGGCCCCCACAACATGCACCGGCCATCATGGCGCGTAGATACTTTTCCCGGTGCTCCAAACAAGGTTGACCTTCTTCCGACGTCTCGCTCCCACCAATTCCATTCTATCTCCTCGCTGAGCCCACGAGATCGGCGTACTAAATCTTTGCAGTCGATGATTGTAGAGCGTGAGGTGCACGACGACAGTGGCGCATGCAGCAGCTGCAGCAGCAGCAGCGATCGCAAGGCCATTAGGGTTTTCTTACAAATGGACATGGATGGGACGTGACTTGCTTCTTTGTCTCATGTATGCTGTCATGAGAGCTCCTACAAAATGTTTGAGGATTCCCATGCACTTCGGTCCCCATGGATCGATCGATGCTTTCTTCTCCTCCCTCCCTCCCTCGCCCTTCCTTCATCGGAAAAGGGAACTAACTCATCAGATAGGAAGTGACCCTGACATCCCCTTCCCTCTCTCTCCCTCTCTCTCTCTCTCTCTCTCACACACATTGAACCTGTAGGTATAGAGAGGAATCATGAGTCATGAGCACCAAAAGATATGCATCCAGAGAGAACAAATTCAAAGAAACAAGCCAACTGTTCCAAACAAGCAATATAGCTCTCATTGCCCCCTGCAAACATAGCCATGTCCAGTACCTGCCTATTCCCCCTGCAAATGCATGCCTGCCTGCCTGCATGCGTACGCACAAAAAGTAGGAGATGGCCACTTCACCTGCTGCGCCAATTCCCATATGTTCAACTCTCCTCCTTCTTCTTCTTCTTCTTCTTCTTCTTCCTCCACCACCACCACCACCTCCGCCTGCATCTTCTCTCCAATTGCTACTTCATGTCATGCCTTCTTCCCACCGCATTCTAGATATGATCACCTCATTTGTATGGCAGATTAAGCATGGCAGTGCTGCTGAGCATAGTGGCTAGTGTGTGGAAAAGCATTAGCTTTTTGTACTTCATTGTGGTACTTTTCATCCATGTCCGAGCCAGCAAGAAAAAGTCTCAGCCCTTTCTTTCTCCATATGCGTGTTCTTGTCAGCATGTGGCCTCCAACATGATAACACCACCCAGTTTACCAGCACCAGGGAAATAGTATACAAAGGGAAAAGACATGACAAGATGTTTGAGGTCAGAAGAACTGATCATATTTCTCCCCAGACCATGATTAACGATGGAAGATCCTCTTGACCACTTCCTTCCCCCATTCTCATCAACCACTCTTGCTAAAGCAGGAGACCTCCTCCTGCTTTCTTCCCTGCAGTCTTCTACTCCTTACGGATTTAGGTACTCGACCAGTATTGTTCTCACTGGAAGTGACACTACATGAAGATTAGGTTGGCTTACATGCTTTAGGTCTTGTGTAGTAAATACTTCACAGGTGGTCTATGGAGCTTTCTTGTTGCTTCTTCTTCCCTACAGGTAATGTAATGATGGTTACTTCTCTTCCTTTTCTTTTTCTCTGAAAATAATATTAATTTCTATTTTTTTAAAGGATATCACAAATCAAATCGAACACAATTACATATATATACATGTTTTTCTTTTTTGACTTTATTCATCATTAAAAACTCACCAGACAGTTCATCAGGTTTCACTACTGTTCATCTTCGATAACTGTGCATTCAGCATCGATATCAACCATATGTTTATCTTAATCATCAGCCACCAATGGCTCATCGACCTTTACGAACTCTTCTGCACCGAGCTATGAAAATTTGGTTTCACCACTCATGATCGACTGAGAAGAGATGCTTAATCTAATACTGAGGTCTCTCAGCTCACACCACATTCCGATGTATCATCTGCCATAGTTATAAATGGTCGAACAGAGCGTGTCACCTTGAGGTGCTCAAGTAATGATGCGTGCATGAAGCACGTTAAGTTAAAATATCATATGATGCAATTATAATAGCAGCCTACACAGAAACCTGTAATGTATTATATAGAATTAATCGAGTTACTAATAATTAGCAGTTCAAACTTAAGTTTGACCTTTGACCGGACTTCGTCTTAATGATATGTGTCTTAATATATTATTAGATCTATCAAGTGTTAATGGTGGGTAATGTATAGTGGGTGAAGGAGTGGGTGAGTGTGTGGTGAGTACATCAGAGGAAACTGCACGGCCTCGGAATAGATTACTACAGCTTCCTACCACGCCCCAGACGTGGTGGGCTCCACCCCACCCCCGGCAGGGCCGATCCCGCACGAAGCCCGGCTTCGCACGCGCGCTCAGGGGTTGGGTGCGGGAGGCGGGTCCCGCCAGCCCGCGGCCCATGCAGGAGCGTGGGTTCGTTCGGGCCCCGCCGCTGTCGGGGACGGGAATATACGCCCGCGGCCGCCGCCCCAGTGGCTCTCACACCCCCGTTTGTCACCCACGTCTCCACTCGCCTCACCAATCCACTGGGCCCCGGCAGTCTGTCGTTTCCGATGCCTCATGGTCTGTCGCCGTGGGTGAGTTCTCTGGGGTTGGTTCCGAAAAGAGTAGCGCGACGTGGACTCCCATCATGTCTCCCTACGTATCATAAATTCCACACGCTTCAACCCAAATTTCTATTCTCTCTCTCGATGTCGCTCGTTTGAAGTAGCAAACATACAATATTTTAAGCTTTATGTTCGGAATGATGCAAGCGTTTCGAGGCATGTCATCGGAGTAAATGGTACAACTCCTTGCATGGACTTGTCTTTTTCTTGTGGAGATGGAAAAGCTCATTAGTGATCGGTGGAAGCCTACTTGATCCCGTTATGACAATCTTTAGGGAACTACTTGCATGATTATTTCTTGATTAAGACCGAGTCAAATGAGAGACAAGTTTAGAGTGCATGCACCAGCCATCAAAAGAAAAGACTTAGCTGTAGATTTTGCATTAAGAAAAGCTCCCCTGTCTCTCACATATAAAATATATGTAAGAGCTCAGTCATCATGGGAGTGTGGCAGTGGCCAAGTAAGATGCATGTAAAGTAGCAAGGCAAGACATGGAATATTTTGGGGACAGTGGCATGCAGAGAAGGTCTCTTCCTGTCTAATGTATCCAACCCATGCTTAGGCTTTTATTTGAGGAGGCTTTGACAAATATATCCCATCCTTGAAAAGCTCATAATCACTGTAGTTAATCACGTCCGAGTGAGTCAAGCTCAATTTGTACGGTGCAAGACAAATTAAGTATGATCGATATTAATCATGAGTTGATTAATATTCTTGCTAAACATGAGTTTAGAAAGAGCAGTGGTTCTTCCGAGGATGTGAATGCAAGAATAAAGAAAGATGAGGAGGTGTAGTCTTTTGATGGGGAACGTCATGGCCAAGCATGGTGAAAACAAGGGGGGGGAGTATGGACGTGAGGGGGAGGGAAAGGAAAGACTAGGGTTTGTTTGATGTAGAAAATTGGTATTTAATGTTGAGGTAATTAGGAGGACACAAGGAAGAAGAGTAAAGAAAAGGAAGGGAAAGCTGGTTTGCTTTAGCTTTTGGATGTTAATAATAAGGAGGGGGCTTTGGAATCATCACATCTTCCTCCTCACCACCTTTTGTCACCGCCCACTCGCTGAGGTCTCGCCAACATGCCGACAAAAGGTGTGTGCTTCACGTCCACTATGAGCTTTCATTATAGTTCGAGAGACGCTGCGTTGTCCAAAAGCTTTGCCACTTTTCCTTGATTGCAGACGGGAAGCGCCATGGCCACTTGTTCCTCTCTCTCTCTCTCTCTATCTGTGCTATTTTGAACACACATACTGTTTCAGGGTGTGAGTTTCACTTCTTGCAATCTTAATCAAGTGGTTTGGGGAGTTCTCATCACGTCTGCAACGCACCATTCGAAGTTGGAGTGGATATGCATTTGTGGAGTACCACTCGTTGAATGTTAATGCATAGAATTCAGAATTCTCAAGTCGATCACTTTATTTTGGTGATAGGATGGATAGACGTGAGTTTTGCATATGATTAAGATATCATAATCTTTGGGCCCCTAATGTTTTTCTTAACTGATAGTGGTGTTTAATTTATATAATAAATTAATTCAGGTCGAGATTAATGCCATTTTAATTTATAATTTACTCAGAAAATTCTCTCGTAATGAATTGAACGGTCCATTTATGCTAAATTGGGTTTAATAAATTTAAAAAAAATCAAAAAAATAGAAAAACAAATAGGGTAACTAATTCTATCATAATACTCTCAATTGTGAAAGTTTGAGTGACAAACTTTATGGTGTTATGCTCGAACGTAGACTTAAGCGGCAAATTGAGCTATAAATATCCCTAAAATCATCATAAAAAAAAACTATAAGATAATATAAATATTTGTTTATATATTTTTTTTTATAATGAAAGTTTGAGATGGGTTGGATAAATTTTATGATACTGAGTTGGATAAAAGCTCCTTATTACACATTCATAGATGGACTATGACTATGTACACTTGATTGTAGAATCAAGTGGATCAATGCTTGATTGTACAGTTGAGTGTGATACTATTCATTTACAAGTGTAATATCATGAAATTTCTTTTATTTGAAGGTATTTTTTTATTTCTATTTTTAGGTTGATTATACAATCGAATATGATTTCATTCGACTCGCTTCACAAATATGTATCCAACTCACCTCATAAATAAATATGAGATAAATAAATGTAACACATAGCAGATTTGTAGATGGACTATAATTATCCCTCTTAAAAGAACAAACCATATCACAAAGAATTTGTAGATGGAGATGCATGATGCCATGCAACAAGAGTTCAACCAGGCTCGTTACAATAAAGTAAACGAAAAATCATCAACCAATATGGCTGCATTATTCATCTGGTTGAAATGTAGAACCAAAAAGAAAATTATGTACTAAAAATACCTAAACTGATGTATTACACCCTGTGAATCGGGCTTTTCTTGCACTGTCAAAAGTTCTTGAACGATGGTGATTCATCTCACTCTCCTCTTTGATTATTGTGGTATTTCTAATCTCTGAGTTTTTTGAGTGTCCAGTCTAGAATATTTCAAGGCACTCACAAGAGACCACTAGATCCTCTTGCAAACTGATTATATCACTTCCTAGTTCCCCTAGTTACCGGATGATGCAGATTTGGTAGCACTAAAAATTCCGTATCCCCGAGTCGGAGGGGTAGAACTGCCAGATTTACCTGGAGGAGAATCTCCAGAGTGCTGATCACTGGAGACAGCTGGTTTTTTAGTGCTGAAATTTCCATAACCGGGTGTTGGTGAAGACGGATTCTTATTCTTTGCAGTAGTCTCACCTCCTGAGTTTCGCATTTCACTGTTAGGAACTTTAGAACTACTGAAAATTCCATAATTTGGCGCATGAGATCCAATATCACCAGGTTTACCAATATTTAAACTTGCTTGGCTCTTTCCATTACCAGTTGCAGGACTCTTCAAACTGAAAATTCCATAACCTTTAGATGGTGAATCAGTATCATCAGCCTTGGTCGTAGTTCCATCTCCAGATCTGCCATCAGGAGTTCTTGCAACTTTGGAAATCCCAGGGCTTGATGGTGAAGGAGGAGTAGCGGCATAGAACTGTGGTTGCTTTGCATCAACCCGACGTCCTTGACCTTCAGTTCTCATAGGTTCCTGCTGTGTCCTCCCTTGATTCGTTGCTGCTCTAAAATAAGGTGCTGCATTATTTCTCTCTGACAAGTATGGCTGGTGAAACCTCCCCTTCACCACAGTTCGTTTTCTATATCGATTATCATCCACAACTGAAGGTTCCTCGGAAGTTTCAACAACAGATCTCAATGAGCCTAGTCCAGGCCCTGGAACTGTAAATCCACTGACAGGTGGAGTGACCTTATGATGTGAAGTGTCACTGATGTTCTTATCCATCAAACGGGCACGAGAAGATGCATTATCCGCATTTCCACTAATGCCAGAGTGAGTACTACTCCCCTCTGAATCAAAATTAAATAAATCTCCTGAGTCATTGGTATCGTTGAATACTTCCCAATCTGCTTCCTCTTTGAAGTTTTCTTGAGCCTCATCCTCAGCCTCTGAACTGCAATCAACGGGATCCCATTCTTCACTTTGGAGTACCTTCCCATCTTGGCTCGTACTGGTAAGTGCTTCAGGAGTGTGAGAAACAGCTCCTTGAAACCCTTTGGCTGCTGTTTCCACGACCTTGCTGACTTTCTTTCCAGACTTCTTTGTTCCAAACTTAGCGTGCTTGACAATCACATATGCTTGCCTTGTATCTACATGTGGACCACTTTCTATAACTGAAACATCTTCTATCTGTTTTACAGATCAATGCTCAATAAGTTTACTGGGTTAATGATCATGCATGAAGCAGAGCATTCAAAATTATTTATGTCGCTACATGGAACTAAAAGATCAGGATTGACAAATAATGAATTAAGGTATTCTATATGGTTTTAATGATAAGCAAAGCATAATAGTATGACACTCACCAGAGGTAAAAGTTGTGATATGAGCCCACCCAAGTCTTCCTCTTCTTTGCTTGAGGGCATAGCTGTACACTGTATCATAAAAAGGATGTGCATAAAGTTATTCATTTCGTCCATGTAAACAAGTAATCAGGATCTATCTCAACTAAGATTAGATTTTTCAAAGCTGTCAAAACTAGAAAATATTAGAGGACAATTAAATGGGGTATGGGACACTTGCTCCAATTTCCTTCATATTAGCCTCAGCATGAGAATGTTATTTATTAAAAGAGAGATGGAAAACTTGTAAATGTCTCTGTATCTTATGCTGGTATTTTATACTAAATATAGTGAGAAAAACGAACTCTTAAGATGAATACATTTGCACTTCAGTTCTCTCAGTAAAAACCAAAGTATAAATCGTATACAAGGACTTTCTACTAAGGAAGCAAGCTCTGTTACAACATATGTAAGATGGTGGAATCACACGCATAACAATCAAGTGATGAAGGTTCGAGGATGATGATACTGATATCATCTTCAATAAGAGAGATATTGAAGACCATGAGATTAGGCATGATGATGCCCTGATGATATCTCTAAGGATTTCCAAGGCTTTGTGAATAAATCCTGATCAACATTGAGAGCTTGAAAGACATTCGTTATTTGAATACATTCCTAAAGTTCAGAAACTCTCGAGGGAGAGCATTGATAATTCACAAACCAACCCCTGACTGATCTCTTTATTTGATGAACGATTCCACCCAAAGTACCAAGACTAAAAGCCAAATTTCTGGTTGCTAATCTTTCGGCCACCTACAATGGCATCAATTGACCAATCCTAAGCCAAGTAATAGTGGTCGACTTTACTGATCACATGACCTTCAAATTCTCATCTAGCAAAGCTGCTGGAGTGATCAGGAGTGACCCTGTTGGATTCCAGCAATGCAACCCTACCCTATCAATGATTAATGTGATCACTAAAATTTATGTAGGATACAACAAATACTAAAGTATTTAAGCACCATAAGGCACTCAATGGGGCTTGACGCCTAAAAAAAAGTATTTAGCAAATAATAGTCACACCAGAAACCTTTCAGCTGAACCTAACATATCTTAATTAAAGAAAAAAAAAAGCAAAATAGCAACTGGAGAATCATCTATTAACTAAAATTAACACAAAAATGAAAAAAAGAGATCTCTAGGACTGTCAAGTTTGAAAAAAAAAACATATAACGTATCAACATTTTAAAGTAGCACAATCAAAGAAAAATAGTAAAATTACCTTTATCTTGTAACCACGTTCCATCAATCTTATAACCAAATCTGCTTTAATTTTCAAGTCTCTTAAATCCTGTAAGAAAAAGAATAAATATTTAAACATTTGAAACAGACAAACTGCACATAGAAAATGTTTCTTTTTTATTTTTCAGATGGAAACTTAAATGTGCAAAGGCAGCAGTTCTACACTATTTTTTCAATGACCGAAGAACATTCACTTTCAACTAAAGTTACATCACACATATCCAAAACAATCTTTTAATTTTAAACTCTCCAAGTACTGATAATCTAATCAAGTTTCACATGAAAAACACATAAGTACCAAGAAACAATTTATTCCATATCTATGTAAACTGGAGCCTTGGTTTTCTTTCACATATATTGAAATGAAATCGAGAACCAAGATTCCATGCTTCTGGAAACATACATGTAAATAGTCTTGCAACAATTGTATAAACATATAGGCTCTGTACATGTGTGTTGTGTAAAATCTTAAAGCTTTACCAGCAAGCTAAAAATCGAAGGTGATGCAAATCAAGTCAAGACCAAAATGCAAAACTGAGCTTAATTAAGTTTACGTTGACCATAAAAGTTATAGGATTAAATTTGCTTATTTTTCTATTTTTGGATTTATTTTTCTGGGCATTTTCTATGTTTGATTGAGTGATAGAAATTTTATTTGTCATTAGTGCTTATGCTGCTCAAGTCAGATTGGACAGTCAAACTAAAAGATAATTTTGGGAAAACTTAGATGATATCATTCAAGGAATGTCTAAAACCGGACAACTTATAATTGGAGGAGATTTGAATGATCATATAGGAAAAACATATGGTAATATAAAGGGGTGCATGGGGGTTTTTATGAGAGAAATGAACATGGTGGTATGATTTTAGATTTTATAATTTCATATGATTTTATACTTGTAAATACTCACTATAAAAAGAGAGATAAATATTTGATTACTTATAAGAGTGGTCACAACCATAACTAAATAGACTTTCTTGCTAGAAAGGTAGATAAAGTTATTTGTAAGAATTATAAAGTTATACTTGGTATACTTGGTGAAAGTTTAACGAATCAACGTAGGTTGATGGTATTAGATATTTATTGTAGAAAAAAAAAATTACTATGACTAAATGGTAATCTTTTAAAGATGAAAATATAAATACTTTAAAGAATAAGATGAAAAAGGAGACGACTTGGAACTTAGATAAGGATAATATTAATATTATTTGGACTACGATCGCTAATAGGACTAGGAGCTTAACAAAGGAGATTCTTGATGAAACTAAAAATAGATATGTAACCTTAAGAGAGAGTTGGTAGTGATGCAAGGAAGTTCAAAAAGCAATTTTTAGAAAAAGATCATGTTTTAAAGATCGGCAAAATTGTGAAAATGAGAAAAAAAAATTAAAGATATAAAGAGTCTAAAAAAAAGGCTAAAAAGATGGTTAGTATGACAAGATATAAGGCTTATGATGATTTTTGTAATAAATTAGACATTAAAGATATTGAAAAAGATATATATCGAATTGTTAAAGTTAGGGAAAAAAAGTGTAAGAATTTAGATAATATTAGACGCAAAGACGAAGATAAAAAAATACTTATTATTTCTATAAATTATTTAATGAATATTCCATACAAGATCCTACCTTTTCGCATTGATAATGGATGAACTTACTCGTCACTTACATGACAGACCTCTTTGATGTATGTTATTAGACACTGATATTGTCTTAGTTGATGAAAGACTAAGTGGAATTGATTATAAGCTTAAGTTATAGATGCAAGTCTTAGAAACTAAAGGTTTTAGATTAAGTAGGACTAAAACTAAATATATAAAATGTAATTTTAGTGATTCTAGAAATAAACAAGAGAATATATTTAAATTGGATAGACAGGAGGTCCCTTTAAGTATAAGTTTTAAGTATCTTAGATCAATTATTCAATAAGATGGAAAGATCAGTGAAGATATTATTCATAAAGTAAAAACAGGTTGGTTAAAATGACGAGGAGCGTCAGGAGTCTTGTGTGATCATCAAGTACCATTGAGATTAAAAGAATTTTTTCATAAAAAAGTTGTGAGATCAACAATGCTTTATGGATTTGAGTGTTGGGCAATAAAGAAACAATATATATAGAAACTTCGTATTGTCGAGATGGAAAAAGGAAAGTTAGGAGTCTTGTGTGATCATCGAGTACCTTTGAGATCAAAAGAAAAATTTTATAAGAAAGTTGTGAGACTAACAATGCTTTATGGATTTGAGCATTGGGCAGTAAAGAAACAACGTATATAGAAAATTTGTGTTATTGAGATGAGAATGTTTAGATAGATAGATGAAGTTACTAGGAAAGACAAGAAAAGAAATACTCTTATTCGTAAACAATTAAATATCACTTCAATAAAGGATAAGATGAGAAAAAATTATTTAAGATGATAATGATATATGTTTAGAAAACCTCCAGATGCAATAATCAGAAGAGGTGAAATAAATAATGTTAGCGATATATTTAAGATATAGATTAGGAATGTAATCATATATAAATTTTTGGTAAGGTATTAGGAATTCAAATTTTTATAACTAACAAGTTGGTTGTTATCCAAAACAAACAACAAATTTCATTGAGACATATCTAACAACACTCTATAGAAAGAAAAAAAGGCATTCATATCACAGAATATTGATTGAATATTATATTTGGAACAAAAAACATAAAAGGAGGATAAGAAACTTCGTTAAATGTAACATATATTTCTCTTTGAGACATTTTCTTTTATTATTACAAAAAAATTCTAGAGCGGTTAGCACTGTGATAATGTTAAGTTAATAAGTTCCATACTATATATGTTTTAGCATATTTTGCTTCTACACCTATATTGGTCATTGTAGGACACGTGGTCAATTGATAGTGACCCCACCTTGTTCTTACAAGACAAAAGTTATCATACGATGAACTTGGATTTGTTTGTAAGATTATGACCCACATGTACATAGGGGACCTATTACGTGGCACGCTAGAACTCAAGGTGTTACACCACTTCATCATCTACATAGTGTCATCAATTATGCTGTCAAAATATAGAGGGCATCCACTAGTGGGATATCCTCAAGATGCTGAAGTGCAGGGAACCATTGACCACAATTCCACCAATAAGCTTGTAAGAAGTAAAAGAGTTTCCACTTTGTTGCAAACATAATAACCATACACATATAGAAGCATAAATATGGCAATGGAGGTAGACAAATAAACATGTTATTCATTACAGAGTAGTGAGCGAAGTCCTGAGATGCAATGGATATAGTGTCAATGATGGAAATCTATGTAGTAGCAAAACATAGTCCAAAATACAAAAGAATGGAAATCCATTTTAATGAAAATCATCAAAAATACTTTAGCACTCCAACTTAGATCCAACATTAACAAAAATATTTTGGCAGTTTGAATTAAATTCAAGCTGCACTTTTATTTGATACAAGTTAGGCAAAATGGAAACTCACAAGGTGCTGCAAATATAAACACACACACACACATACATTTGTGTGTGTCTATTGAATAAATTACTTACAATTTTTCCTTTAAACCGAACTTCTTTGTGATCCCCGCCCCGCATTGCAATTGACGACTGCAATATGAAAGCAAATACAAAATGGAATCGATCATATCAGTATTCATGATATTAAAAATAATAAAAACATAAAGAGTAGTCATATTTTTTTTCATTTAAAAAGTTCAATGGATGGTCACCACCAAATAATTTTTTTTTCAAAACAATAAACAAAAGATATGTTTAGTAATCACAAAGTTAAAAAATATATATCTTTTGGTAATATTGTTAAAGATTATTAATATTTGGTACAGAATTATTGATTGATTAGTATATCTGCCAAGTGATACATAAAATACATGAGTGGTCTCCCATCAGATCTGGAAAGGCAAGATATCAGAAGGATTCTCATCAGATGTCAAAAGCGAGGTATGCAATAATCAAGATAGAAGTTTGCTGATCAGAATTGGACAAACAACAATCCACTGCTGAGGGAAGATTTAATCAAAATAGAAGTTTGCTGATCAGAGTTGGGCAAACAACTATCCACCGCTGAGATAGGATTTCCTTAACGAACCAAATCTTCAATCAAGCTCATGTTCCTCCATTTCCATTTAGCCTCTTTTTCTTTCCCTTACAAAATCTTGGTGAAGAAGTAGAAGTACATAATTTGTCATGCAGCAACTTAATAAATTTACAAAAAAAAAAAAGTATCATATAAGTGTAATGTTCCATTGATTCAAAATGGTTCATGCATCCAAATGAACATGTCATCTTATACATTTCTAAGTTAAAGAAATCCTAGAAGAACATGATCTTAAATGATCAGCAATAAGGTAGATCATTTTGTTATTAAATAACACTTTAATCTTTTAGGCAAGTTGATTTGCATAAGACTCTTGGTTGTGTATTTAAAAGTTGCAGCCATTTGTTAAATATTGTCATTTGTCAACTGTAACAAGAAGCCTCTTCAACTATTAGTAATCATTTATGGACATAATAATAGCTTTATTAAATTAAAAAACCTCAATGATTTGACATAGTCCAATCCACGTGATAGAATAAACCACCTCGTCATGACTATCTACTTAAACCTTGTGTATCAACCTAATATGGGGAGAAAATACAGATGATTAAATATGAAGGAAATATCTTAAAGTTCCACTGATATTTGTTCATATTTTATCTAGCACATAAACAAATATATTATCATCATTAAGACCACAAGATGGCACACCATGAACACAATTTCTCCAGGATAAGTATGCCTCAAAAACTAGTGCATTTTCATTCTCTATGTAATAAGTTGATCAACTTGTTTTTACATGAAACCCACATGTATGGACTTAATGTCTCCTCCCAGTTCACAAAGTGCATATCGCATTATACACTGTCCATCTTGGAAAGGCTTTAAGTAGATGCAGGAACTTCAAGCACTGATTGCAATTCCACTTCAATATTAATGCTTTTATGGCAAAGCTTACCAAGGTTTTAAAATCTTGGTCAGATTTTGGTTTCGAAATCTCATTGAACTGGTTTAATACTGGTACAGCAGCAATGTACCAACAATGTACACTTTCAGGTATCACTAAAAAAATAATAAAAAGTTGAGTGCCATCCTTGGTCGGATCGGTGACTACTGGTAGGTATGTACCACTGCAATCAATAATTGAGACCTTGAGGCTAACTCAAAGATCTAAAATGGTTATATAATTGAAAGACTGTCACAAACTAAAAACCTCTGCCACTAAAAACTTTTAACAACTTACTCGTTTGGTTTTCAGGAATGCAAATGTAAATAAAGTTAATAGATAAATTACAATACATTTTTTTAACAATAAAAAAAGTTGCAGATCTTTAAATATCTAAAATATTTGTTGACAATTTGCAGCTGTTGTATTACGTCACATATCCTTAGTGGTAAAAATTCATTATATGTATAAGGTTACTTATATAGCTCGGAAGGAAAGAATCATATTGTATTACCTTGCTTTTGGCACGTTCCTTTTCCTTTACTTCTTGTTTGAACTTCTCCTTATGGAAGTCCATAATCTTGCAAACAGGTGGATTTGCATTTCTTTGAACCTACAAAATCAAACAAGTAACAAAAGTTAGTACTATGTAAAACAAGTAATGTACTATAATGTCAAAAAAATCAGTTTCAGCTTCTATCTAGTACAAATGCATATAGAAGTACATACAGATGCATAGTATAGCATATTTTATGCACATCTAGTAAGTTCAGAGTCAATCTAGAGAGGAGTACAACCCGTGGAAAAAAATAGAAAACAAAGAGTGAACCAGATTCGAACAGCATGCTTAAAGCTGCTGTATAAAGAGAAAAGGAAAGTATAGGATGTATATAACAAAGAAAGAAAATGAAGAACTTTCTTTCCAAAATAAGGTCCAATAAATTCATTACACAACTTTGAAAGACTGATGATTTTCCAGATCTACAAGTTGCATAAAAATCCAAGAGTACAATAACAATATTTTGCAATAGGAAGATAATAGTCAATTTGTCCAAATTTTTGGATCAACTTATAAATCAAATGATGACAGAAAAGAGAAATGACGCATCATATATGTTTGCAAGTTTGAAAAATAAAAGCAAAAAACATGTGGTCAATAAAGAAACTTCACTAGCAGTAATGATTTAAAAAGCGCTAGGCACTCGCCTAAGCGAAACGAGGCGCTAAAATATAAAAATATATAATATAATTAATAAATATAATTATTTAAATAAGAATATGATATTAAATTAAAAAATCTTACAGAATCATAATATCACATTAACAAAAAATCTCAAAATTCAAAACAATAACAATAATTTCAAATAAATAAAAATTAGAAATATTAAAATAAAAATAATATATTATTAATCTAATAAATAAAAAAAATATTGTTGCTCATATATAGTTAACAGTATACTGTTAATATATTGTTAACAATATAATATCAAGTCGATGTGAGAAAAAGGAGTAAGAGTAACAGTAGCGACGAGAGGTGGCAGCGGTAGTAGGAGCGGGAGCAACGATAGTGGCGAGCAGTGACAGCAACGACAAGCAACAGTAGTGGCAGCGATAGCGGTAGCAGCGAGAAGCGATACCGGGAGCACAGTGTAAAAGTAAGACTGAGGCTGCTGGCTGAGAGAAGCAGCAGCGAATAGCGGCAGGAGGAGCGGGAGCGGCGATAGTGGCAGTGGCAGCGGCGACAGAGAGCAGTGACAACGAAGAGAGGCAACAGTAGCGAAGAGGCAACGGCAGTAGAGAGGAAATGTCAGCGGCAGAATCGCGAGCAGGGTTAGGGTTGGGGAAGCCGCGGGAGGGATGTTGGGAGGCTAATATCGATGCTTTAGTTGGTTTAATTGAACCAACTAAAGCACCAAAGACCAAACCAGACGTAAAACACTGGTTTGGTTGCATGGTTTAACCCGGGCGCTCGCCCGAAGCACCTGGGCTAGGGCCAGCGCCTAGGTGGTGCCTCTTTAAAGCGAGACGCTCGGGCCTCGCCTCGCCCAAGCACCTAGACGAACACCCGAGCGCCTATTGAAATCGCTGACTAACAGTAGGTATCAAATTGACCACAGAAAACATAAAGAGCACATCAGTTTTTTCTTCTTTTCTGAAAGATCGACCTTCATGTTTCCTTGCCATGTCCATGCTGCTCACATGACAGTTAAGTGTCCGTAATTGCAAGCAACCAGAGCAATGAGCATGTTCCTGTGCAAAGGTAGTCAACTAGCACGCAACACAGAGGCTGGAACAGGTTGGCAGGTCCAGCATTAGCAAATATAATGCAATCAGTGATCAGTGAAGGAGTGAAGAATCTTTTCCAATACGAAGTTCTGAAGAAAATTGAACTTTTTTTCTTCTGCATGTCTTAGAATGTCATAATGCTGGATACGAATCCACAGCAACTGCAGCCCACCAGACCAATCAACCTGGTCTGCCATGGTTTTAGTTCGGTATGGTTTAATACACAAACAACCTTGACAGGCCCTATTCCAAGTCATAATCATGGTGGGACAATGAAGAAAGTAGTCCAGTTCATTACTAGCCATTGACCATAATAGTTTTGTATCAGCACAGAGTAGCTTCAGTGGCTTCTCATGACAATCAGCTACGATGTCAGAGTCCTCCATTGTTTGATACACAGGAGATGAAGATCTCTCCCTCAGATATGTTATCAATGTGATAATGAGACTTCACAGAGATGTGTGAAACAGCTCACTAGTTAGCGGTCCTAATATTAAGGAAACTGACGACCAAAAACCCTTGTAATGAGAATAATTGATTATCTCTGCCTGCCTTATATTGTCACTCGTTGGCCTAAAAGCAACAAAGTGTAATCAATATTGGAACTTCTGATAGCTATGGGAGACCTGTATCTCAGACTTGTAGTAAATCCCACTGATTTTGGAGGCTAATATGATGTACCAGCCAAGCTCAAAGCTTTTGCAGACAACTATACTGACAGCTTACAGAAATTTTTCTTGATCTTATCCTGTTATAGCGACAATTCAACTGATCATGCAGTTTTGACATCTCTATTGCCTCCAAACTTACCACCCCGAGTTCAACCTATTGTTGACCAGAGTATGGGGATAGCAAACAAATCCTGAAACCAGATGTAACATGGGTGCAAAATACAGACAAAGACTATAACCCAAAGATAAACCAGTTATGCAACCCACCGAACTACAATCATGGTTCCAGATCATGCCAATGATAGCCAAGATAAAATTTTCAAAGTCCAACACCATTGACATTGTTGGAATTTTTAGGCTAAGATATTTTTCAAATAGCATGGCCACACCAGAGCAAGGACCTTTCAAACAGCAGTAAAAGTGTTCTAATTCACTCAGAAATATATTTTATTTCTCTCCTTGAAATAACAGAAGTAAAGGATTTACCAATGAATCAGCATAACTGCCAGACATCAGAACCATCCAAATCTGGAGGCAATCAACTGAAGGAGAACATCAAGAGTCGGACACAACAGGAAGAATGTATGCTATGTTATTATTTAATGATGGGATCATCAGAAGACAAGTATTTTCTTTATATTATTATTTAAAATTTCTATTGTATGATTGAAATTAAAGTCTGGCACTGAGTCCTGTATGCTATGTTATTATGATTTCATGAATGAAATTGTTTGTTTTTATTAGACCAGCAGCCATGATTATCCTTCTTCTGTTGTAGTGCTTCTCCCTCCTAGACCACCTCTTCTTACCACTTCTTTCTTCCCAGCCTTCACTCCCTATACCCTATTACCTTTACTGGGACATACCAATATACAAGGTTAGGGAATGTGTGTGTTAATATAAGTTCAGTAATGTGCATATGGCTTACTTTTCCAGTATAAAGATGTTAAGGAGTTCAGGCTTAGAAATATGCATGAGTGATCTTAATTGCACATGTACTAGATAGACGCACCCAGCCACCTCTGTCAACTAAGTCCTTGCACACATCCAAAATATTCAATGCAAACAGTAGTCTACCTAGAATGATGTGAACCTTCTCATTCCATATCTTCTGCTGCTTCTATATGACTTCTAGAATAAACTCAAGACAAACTATTGAAAATACGTGTTCCGTGCAAGTAAGGTGGAATCATTGAGTGTAACATAGTGCAACTTGAACTTTGAAGCTCTTCCAACTTTTCTATTATTATTGACACAGCATTTACTTTTTTGTCTATTTCAGTGTATGGCCGCCTCATGCTTTAATCAGCATGCATGCTTGAAGTTGCAAAAAAATCAAAGTCCAACACCCTCTTTATCCACATAACAAAACTGTATTTTTTTAGTTAATGCAAAATCAAAACCTACCATCAACAAATGATACTCCAACTTGTGACAGATAGAAATCAATACATAGAGGTTGAATGATCATGCTTTGTTCAAAAATGATTGAAAAAAAAGAAAGAAAAAAAAGAGCATCTTGAAGTCAGACTTATTAGATTATTGTAATTGAATGCAATGGATGATGGCAAAAGTAATTTGAACAAAATTTGAGAATAAAACATTAATGAACTAGAAAATCATTTGCATTTATTTCTTAATGCATAAATATGACAAGAAATTATGATGGTATAACAGGCCATCTGTACCTCAACTAAGTCAAGTTCGAGCTTTGTTGCACGATCAAGTGCTTCTCTTCTTGAAACAATGCCGTGACCTATAGATTTTTATAACAGTAAGTAATAGTTTATATGACCACATTAACCATGGGAAATGAAGGAAAATTATATTCAGCAAACTCAGAAGAAATAACAGCAAGTGAACAGCAAAAGTGCTGGTTCATTTTGAAATATTGATACTGCTAAAGATTGGATGCTCACAGCAGCTTAATCATGCTTTGCTCATTATTTATCATGATTCACTCATTATCCAGTCCTTACTGAATCTGTAAACAAAGCCCCCAGTAGAATAACAATCTACGATCTTCTACTTACCAACTTGCACATGTACTAGGTACAATAAGTTGAAACTACAGATGGCAACCACTTGGTCCCCAGTTGAGTAATCCATTCTCAAACAATCAGTACAGTCAAATGTAGAGGTAACAAAGAATCATAAATATTCAAAAAGAAGTTCAATTACTATAACGTATACATAAAAATTTGGAAAAGAATTCAACATACCCTCATCAGTGACAAGCCGAACATATGGTGCAGTGATCGCTGCATTAAGCCTAGGCCCCACATTTGAATCTAGAGCTGGTTTTGACTTCAGTTTAGCCTAAAAAGTTCCAATCAAACAACATCAAAAGTTAAAATATATAATGTGCGTGCGCACATGTGAGTGTGCATATACATGTGAATATATATATCAATTTGTACGAGAAGAGAACAACCACCACCTGCACTGGAGCCGCAAAGGATCTCACAGGGGTGTAATTGAAGCTCGAAGATGAGGAATGCACAGCAAAGCAGGGACCAAATAGATTCTTCCTGGCCATGGACCTCAACAATTGGTTTTGCCGATTCCACAAAGGAGTTCCAAAGGCACTCCGGTATGGCTGCAAGCAAATTGGATCTGAATCAAATTGGGGCACATCATATATTTAAGAGTCAATTTAAGTGAAAAATATATTAAAAGAATCACCTTCACCGGAGCGGCAAAGGATTTCAATGGCTTGTAACTGAAGCTGGGGGAAGGGCAAATGCCAGAGCAAGCACCAAGAAGATTTTTCGTGGCCACGGACCTCAACTGCTGGTTCTGGCCATCCAGCAGAGGAGTTCCAAAGGGGTTGGAGAAGAGGGAGTACCATCTCCTGTCTGCCTGCAAGCAGAATGGATTTGGATCGGGATGGGGTTGATCCAGAACCAATCTGATCACTGAAAAGCCCCGTCCCATCCGATCTGATAATCCACTGAATTGGTTATAATATCCCATATGACTTTTATCCGGAGCACCGAGCCATCGCAATGCGCGAGTGAAATGCATCTACCACCAAAATGGAGAAAAATACTAAATATGAGAAAAAAAACACCCAAAAGAACAATCAATCAACAGAAGCAGAACCCACATCCAGGTTTAGAAAACAAGTCAATTTCAACATATATCAAACATGGTTCATCTGAAGTCCCACGATACTCTGTTCATAAAATTAAAATTACTGTTGGATGAAACAGGAGAGACCGAAAGAGTGGAGGAGAACAGAGGAGAGCATAGTAGTGGGGGGGGAAAGAAAGGAGAGACGGGGATACAACAGGAGAGGGACAGAGAAAACACAAGAAATGCATGAGCGGAGAGGGGAGGAGAAGAGAAGAGAAGAGAGGAGAGGAGAGGAGAGAACAGTACCGGAGTAGCGGGAGGTGGCAGCATGCGACAGTGGCCGAAGGAGGTGGCTCGGCCAGCGACGTTGGCACCGGCAGCGGCAACGGCAGCAGCCCAAACGCTAGGGCTCGCTTGGCTACTTGGCTTTTTAATCTGAAGAAGCTCAACGAGTCCACACGGTAAACTCGAGTCGAATCGGACGATTCCACCGATCGAACCGATTCGACTCGCTCGTCGACCCGAGCCCATGAGATTTTCGTTTCAGAGGCCGAGTTGATTCGTCGGGCTTGATCTGGCCGTACATTCGCGAAGAATGCCATCACTGCACCGTATTGACTCGGTCAACGTTTTCTAAGCTCAATCATACATTCAACGATCAATGCATACACGACTGCCCTATCTGTCTGATCTATTTGGATCACAATCTTACTCACATCACAAGAATCTACGTTTAAGCTTTTAGTTTGCTAAGACGAAGAGCATGCAGATGTTATGTGAAGGGAGAAAAGCTACGTGAGGCAGCGGAGTTCCATGCATATACATCATGGCCACCACTTCATCTGTGTTCTTCATCTTATCTTGATAATGTTGGGCAAAACCCTCCCCGTCTTCTACGCGGAGTACGAAAGAACCCATAACATCATCAGCAACTTGCACCGGTTTGAAGCTGAAACACCTTTAACTGCGATGAGCCAAGTGGCGAAGGAGATCTTCATGGAGAACACCGACTTCTTTCCGATAAAGCCAGTGGACTACGGCAGGTTCCTTGTCATCTCTCTCGGCACCGGTTCGAACCAGCAAGAGGGAAGGTTTACTGCACAAGAGAGCAGCAAGAGGGGCGTGCTCAGTGGCTGTACAACAAGAGCACCACCCCCATCATCGACATCCTCTCGCAATGGACGTCCACGCCTCTGTTCTCTTTCAAGCGCTGTGATCGGAGAAGCAGTACCTTCGCATACAGGTACGTGTGCTTGCTTCGAGAAGGAAGACGACGACTCAATTCAATCTCACGAAGCGAACCGGCGTTGAGGTGCATGCAGGATGACACTTTGACGGGAGATGCAGCGTCGTTGGACATCGCGGGGAAGGAGAACCTTGAGAAGCTGGTTAAGGAACCTGGAGAACGGCAGCTATGAGCCGGTGGAGGAAGAAGGAAGGAACGAAGAAGCCTTGACTCGTTTTGCTCAGAGACTTTCCAGCGACAGGAAGCTAAGGAACTCGAAGTTACTGCCTTGATATCATTCATTCATTGTGTGTCTGTGTGTGGGTTTTGTGGTGATGAAGAAGCAATGAATAATAAATAACAATTGTTGTTATTTATTATTACACTAATAGCAATGAATAATATCCCTCTATCAAATATTGAATGATTTATTGTTACACTAATTATATATAAATTTAAACTATCAATATAAATAATGATTGAAATGTAACATTAAAAGGAAATTGATGGTATCGAAATATAAATAATGATAAGGCAGGAAATGGTTAGTAAACAACTAAACTTAAAACGCGCGACACGTAAAGTCGCTTTCAAATTTTGAATTCCATTCCGCTTTATAGCCATTCCCATTTCTGAACGCCTCTCTCTCTCTCTGCTTCTGCTTGCAAAGCGATCACTCGCTCTCCTTCCCCTCTCTCTATCTATCGTGGTAAGGGAAGAGATATGGGAACCACAGAGACAATGTCCTACGAAGAGCAGCGGCGGAGGAGGCTAGAGGAGAACAAGAAGAAGCTCGAACAGCTTAACCTCCCCCACCTCTCCGTCGCCCTCCGCGACGCCGCCGCGTCCCCCAAGACCTCCCCGGTCCACCACTCGAAATCCTTCCTTTTTCTCACTTTCGCCCTTCTCCCGCTTCCATAACTCTGTTTCTTGCTCAACCAGGCCAAGCAGATCAAGCGAAAGATGTCCCGGGATGCAAGCCTCACCCCCGTACGCCGGTCCGTCCGCGTCGCGAGCTTGCCGGAGCCCAACTACCGAGAAGTAGGCCTCCTCGGCTCGCTGCTTCCCCTCTCGAGCCGATCTTGTCTTGTTGGTTGATTGTCCTCTGTTCCTAAAACAAGAGGAAGAAGATTCAAGAAAATAACGATCCTTCCTTTCTTCGACTTTTAACCGATTGCTTCTGTTGCTTGGTTATCTTTTGGCTAATGTTTGATGCTTGGATAGGTAGCTTCAGACTTCGTGGATAGGCCGAGAAGGTTGGTGATTGCATCTTAATCTACCACGGCTGAAGAATCTTTCCCTAATATATATCTCAATTAGGATCGCTAGGGTTTTGAAGCGTAGAGGCTTGGACGATCGAGTATATGCATCAGATGAAGCTAGGGAGTACGCCCAAACGAAAGCAGAGGAAATCGAAGCGGGACTCGACCCAAAGTTTCCTTCTTTTGTGAAGTCTATGCTCCAATCTCACACCACCGGAGGATTTTGGCTGGTAATTCTAGTCATCCTTGATGATGCAACTCTCAGTAAATTTCTATCAATGTCTAAAACACTCAAGATGAATCCTTGATAAGCACTAGTTTTTGTCTCATAAATGATGTTAATAGGGCCTTCCTATAATATTCTGCAACAAGCATCTGCCAAAGCGTGGTGCGACAATTACTTTAATAGATGAAAACGGGGATGAATCCGATACTACTTATCTTGCCCACAAGAGAGGACTAAGTGGAGGGTGGAAAGGTTTTTCTATAAATCATGAATTAGTTCATGGCGATGCTGTCGTTTTCCAGTTGATCAAAACGACAACTTTCAAGGTAAATTAGAGAATATTTGATGCTCCTTTTCTTAATAACTTCAAATACCTCTTTTTGGTGTAGTTTTCTTATTTGATCTATCCATTTGTAATACACTGCTTCACTTCGTGTGTCTACTGTCCATTTGTCTTTCATGCAATTGATTGTGGTTAATCATTTTACAATCTGATGTTGCTTATTGACATACCTCCAGTTCTGATGTCTCGTTAATTTGTTTTCTGCTCTATAGGTCTATATAATTAGGGCGAGTGAATATGATAGCAGTTGATGTAGTTCTTGACTCTCCAGAAAAAGGAATTTTGATGCTGCTGCAAGGAGTAGGAACAGGTAATTTAAATTCTAATTTAAATTTTAAGATGTTCTTGTTTCTATATGTTCAAGAGTAGAATATTACAAATTTTTCTAGCAAACATATATTGTACTTCAAAATTTTGTGGCACCACTAAGCCCTTTGTTATTGTACCGTATCAGTCATTCCAAATATTGCCTATCCGTAAGGCCTTGTTTCTTGCACCAAAAAAAAGAATTGTCATACATTATATCTCCTTTTACTTTCTCCCTTTTCCATTGACCTTCATTTGTTCAGATTGAGGAGAACCAAATGTGTTAATTAACAATTTCAAATGATACCCGTAGCGTTTAGCACACAATTGGCAAAAGGATCATTGCAATTGTTTAAATGTTTCAGTTGAAAGGTTCCAATAATTCTTACATACTCGAACTATCAACTTCAATCACTGAAGTAGTTAATTTTTAAGGCTTCTTCTTGTTCATTTCTCCACTTTATCCTTTGTACTACTATAAATGTGTAGAAAGTCTTAAATATACTTTAAACTGTATTAACATAAAACTATAATCATTTTAGTGTTTTATGTGTACAAAAGTTTTATTTCCTTGTGCTTTTGGTCGGATTGCTCCTTATGATTTAGGTGATCCAGAAATGGTAAAACGGCATAAATTGGTGCATCTTGGACTTGCAATAATGAGCTCTATGCATTGCACCATCTTTTTTAGTTGTTTTATTTTTTAAACAATAATATATGATATATTTGAATTGATTTTTTCATTATTTATTTTTATTTCTTCATAAGTTTAATTTCTACTTTTATATCTGCATAGTTCCCATTTGATACTTAACAAAGTAATTATTTTTTTCTTTTAACTGCTGGTGGAGAGAAACACATCAATTATCTAAGATCATAGCTACTTAGTTTTTTTTGGGGATATACAATGCAAATGATCATAACTCAAAAATCTACTTTGTATCTATAAGTTTTTATATCCACTGATTCAATTTGTATATAAAAATAATTTTTTCACTGACAGTACACATCTTCAGTAATCTTAATTATGATAGTATTTTTATTTCTAGCTGATTGTTTAATTTAGTATTTATCTTCACTCTAGTATCTAGATTTGGAATTTCACTTTGATGCATGTGTGACATTTTTAATTTGCAAATCCACGACCTCAAGTTAACTCAATACATTATTTGGTTCAACAGGTAACAGGCTCAGTGGTCCTTAGAATCAGAGAAGTCCAATGCTCCTCATTTATTTCAGTTTGAAGACTTGAGGGAGGGGCTTTACAACAGTGTTTTTGCATAAACCAAAACTTCTCATATGCCCATAAAACATTCAAAAATTTTGTTACTTTGAGCTTGACTTCGGCTTAATCTAAAATTTCCAGTGGACCAAATCTTGTAGACAGAAGTAAATGAAGAATCTTGGTTTGAAATGTGCTATCTATATGGTGGCTATTGCTACCACATCGAGTTTTATTTTGTCTTTATGGAATTATAATAACTATATAAAAGGATTATTGTGAATTCCCTCAATAAGGTGGAGGTTATATTTAGCAAATGAGTTGTGCAATTACCTTGTTTTGTTTTGTTCTACAGGAAAGCAACAATTTCTTTCAACTTCATATTTAGGGACAATATATTACATTCTTATGTTTTTGTGGATTTGCAAACTAAAAATGTTACATATGCATCATCAAAGTGAAATTCTAAATCTAGATACAAGGTGAAGATTACACCAAATACTAGATTAAACAATCAGCTAAAAACACTATCATTTTTGAAATTTAATATTTATAAGACATTATAATATGATTAAGATTACTGAAGATATGTACTGTCAGTAGAAAAACCATTTTCATATATAAATTGAATCAATAGATATAAAAAAATAATAGATACAAAGTGAAGTGTTATTATGATTATTTGCACTATATATCCCAAAAAATCTAAATAGCCATACTTGATGTGTTCCTCTCTCCACCACAAGTTTAAAAAAAAAACAATTATTTTGTTAAGTATCAAATGGAAACTATGCAGATATATAAGTATAAGCTAAACTTAAAAAGAAATGAAAACAAATAATGAAAGAACCAATTTAAATATATCACTCATATTATTTAAAAAAATAAAATAACTAAAAAAGATGATGCAATACATAGAGCTCATTATTGCAACTCCAAGTTGCACCACTGTATCCAGCTTTACCATTTCTGGATCACCTAAATCATAAGGAGCAACCCGACTAAAACTCACTTTTTTAAAAGTTTAAAGTAAATACTGAAAGCAAAAGCAAAAGAAAATACAATTTTTGTACACAGAAAAAATAAAATGATTATGCTTTTATATTAATACAATTTAAAGTATATTTAAGACTTTTGACACATTTATAGTACAAAGGACAAAGTTGAGAAATGAACAAGAAGCCTTCGAAAAATTAACTACTTTAGTGATTGAAATGAAATGGTCGGGTGATAGGCTTGCCAAGAATTTTGTCTTCTTACTTTTCCTCCGATATTTGCCGATATCTACAGATCCATTACCTTCAATGGTGTATGCCACATTTCCACTTGCTTGTGCAATCCTTAAGGGTGTCAATTGGCTGAATAGCACTCCATGTGTTTACAAGAAAACTCCATCTTCAAAAATTTTTGAAAAGGGTGATATGGACTTGCAGTTAGTTATTCTCTGATATGCTTTGAAATTTAACAACATTTAGAAAAGAAACAAAATATAGGTTTATAAGCAAGATACAGTTTTGTGCCTTACTCTGCATAATAAGATACCGTTGATGTTGCAGAGAAATCATTAATGGCTATATTTGTACATCCTGTGGCCCATTTTTTCCATATTTTCTCTTGCTTCGTGAAGTATGCTTGCCATTTCCCAGTCCCAAATATCTTTGATTGAGCTTAGGCCTCTATGTTTCCTGCAATGCTCATATTCCTGCAGGCAAAAGGTTGAAAATGACCTTCCTGCAATCTCTAAGTCACTCGGATTCAAAATATTAAATGGATCATGGAGACAGCATATGTCTAAATATATGGTTCAACCACAAGGTTGAGTTGCAAATATATTAATGAATCTGTATGTTTTTCCGTTATGATGTTGTTTTATTCTTAAGCCACAGCAACAGACAACTTATTGCACAGCAACATGCCAAAATAAACTCATGGGATGGGGCAAAGTAAACTTCGAAGAGCACATCAATGTTTTAAATTCTAGGACTAGCTATCATGCCAATGCCAAAAATCTGAAGCTGGAATTCAGTGGCTAGCATCACAGCTTCCAATGACAGGGTTTGAAGGTGATTGATGAGGCAAATTTCAAAATCATGCTAATATATTTTTGATGGATGCAGGTCCAAGGCCACATGTATATGTGTCTATAAAGCTGATAAGCCACTCTAAAGCTGCGATGATGTATGCTGATTTGCCATGAGACTAATATGGGTCATTAATTGATTGTGTTGTGTCAAGTTGATGTAGAATTGATGTCCATACAGACCCGATTTAACAACCATGCCAAGATTTCAACTCGGCAATGAACCTCTACATAAGGTAGATCTATCCAAAAATCCTATAACTATTCATTGAATACAAACAGGTAAGATCAGGTCAGGTCAGGCAAGTCAAGAACCCCAGAATTATGATTCATTTGAACAACATACACTGATATTGAAATTACGCGAGGCACAGAATTAATAGCATATCAACCAAGGCATGACTTGTTTACCACATTTGACCAGATTCTTGACACGGCAAGACTTGAACAAACTGAGTTCTTATATGAAACTCAAACATTCATAAATCAGGTTGATTTTGTTGCCCTCTTCATATAACAAACCTGTACAACCTAAACCGGAAGCCAATAATATCATGTTGTATTCCTGACAGGTTGGTGATAAGTTCAAGAATTGCCACCCCCATGCATATAGCTTGATAAAACTGTATAACCAAAACATGTGCTGATAATTTCATGTTGCAATTGTGTCGGGTTAGTGAGAAGTTCCAAGAATCAACACCACTAAGCGTGTCATGTTACTAGTAATTTTTGGTCATAGATTTTGCTATCTATATCAAGGACATCCGTCTTATACAAACCACCCATATCAGTCCCTGGCCGGATTGATACGTACTGGTCGGTACTGATCCACCGACACATGGTACACTTGTCTATAATGAAGACTCAAGAAAAAAAGGACAGGAGGAAGGAAGATTCAAAGAGGAAGAAGAAGGAGAAGAGGAAGGAATAGACGGTGGTGGAGAAAGAAGGCGGAAGGAGGAAGGAAGAAGAGGCAGTGGAGGAGGAGGAGGAAGACGAAGGAAGGAGGAGGAAGAGGAGGAGAAGAGGAAGGATATCCGAAATTGGTGGCACATAGCGGGCGACAACAAATCTGTTCACAGATTCTACGTGGATGGCAAAGAGGGCTCGTGTCAAAAGGTCTTTCTTTTCTTTTTATAATAGGTTGGACCAGATCGCCTGAAACAGGGGCAGTCCACGTACCGGGTCACGTCCAAACCGGCACATACCATCCATTTTGTATCGATCCAAGTGAAATCATATTCCATGGTCTATATTATTATCCACTAAATTCTAGTAAGATATCAAACACTGTAACTTGAAGGTTGATAATATCAAGTAACATAAAAAATCATATCATGAAGAGAAAGATATCAACAAACTACCTTGTTTTCATCTTCAAAGTTAATATTATGGAAGTAAAGAGGCTGACTCACAGCCACAAGTGCGGTCTCCAAATCAAGAAATCCGGCAGTAACCATTCTCCTTAATACCCTCGCTTGAGAATTCTTGCCCCTGTCATATTAAAATGTAAATTTTCCAAATACAACTAGTTGTCATTGGATTTCTGCAATAAATCCCAAAATTTAGATTCACTAGCCTTGTTGGACTTGTCAATGGATTAAAGGTCTCGGGAGAAGGTAAAATCCCAGCTAGCAATGCTGACTCCCCCAAGTTAAGAAGAGAAGGATGTTTTCTGAAGTAAAAAAGTGATGCTGATTCGATCCCGTAATTACCATGTCCCCAGTACATCTGAAAAGAACAGCGAACAGTAAAAACAACCTTGATAAACTCAAGGAACTAACTCAGTATCATATCTTCAGTACTGCTAACAATAGTAAGTAAATCTACAATACACTGAAAGAGTTGCTCACGGGTAATAAAGTATCATTCCAGTGTCCCATAAAAATTGTAGTGGGTTTTTCCAGGAATCACAAGGAATATTAACCCATCTAGAGAATCTCACCTTCTAACTAGACTGAATTCATAACTAGAAAGTAAAATCTTCCAAAGCCCAACAACAGAAATCGTCCCAGTGAAATATGTAAGTAACTCCAACTGTCATATGAATCTTTGTCATGTTTCCAGGGAATTGGATGTTTTTACATTTTAACAGTTCTGTTAAATCAGAGAAACTTCAGAAATAAGTAGGGCCAATAACCTAAAAACTCGAAGAAGTCAATGGAAATATAAATTTAACAAATAATAATATTCAATCCAATTCAGAAAACTCATAAAACACAAAGTGTACTAGTGTTGCTATTCAAACATGTGGAAGCTAATATATGGTCCTTGTAAATCTCACATAAAGATGATATGTTGCAGGTCAATGGAAGTTTCTCACAACATGTAAAATGTTTGTTTCAGCTGATGGCAAAGAGAAAATGTAAAATCAAAATAAAGTTTGGATCACTAACTCAAAGGAACTGGCTAACCTTTTACGACATGTTATCGGCTTACTGAAAGCGTAGTAGCAGATATTACTGTAAAATTGAAGTTATTACATTACAAATAGAATATTGACATAAGACCAATGGATTTTAGGATGACACTCCATTGATCTGGAGTCATTTGGCAGGTTTTTAAATAATGACTTGAGTGAAGTGATGAACTTAAAAGGAGTAGATGATGCTTTGAAAGAAATACTATCTTGTCCAGTAAATTTTACATATTCTTCTCTTTTCTTTTCAGACCCTTATCTTCTATCTTCTATTTTCTAGTCTTCCAACTGTACGTGTTATATTTATCTAATATTGCAAGGCTAGATTAAGTTGACATTTTGCAAATTCAAACCGATCTAAATCATTCTGCATCATCAAACTGCAACAGTAAAGTCTCATGAATAATGATATAACAAAAACTGCTTTAGACCAAAATAAACTCTCCCATGTCCAGTCTTAAGAGTTTAAACTTTTTAAGTTGCTTATTGGGTTCACAATGTAAATCTGTCTTGAGTTAGAGTCTTTAGAAAGAAAAGAGAAATCTATAAATCACTAGTATCTGTCAACAATCTGGAACTCATACCTTGCTCAAATAAGAGTACAGTATTTCCCACTTCGACATTTTCCTCTCCAGTAATAGAGATAATATTCCCTCAAAAAATTTTCTTGAGATCTTCCGTTCACTTGTCAAGAAGACATTCTTCACAAGCTGCATTATGAAATGGTTTAGTAATCTGCTATCGACAAATTAAGTAGCCCAATGCTCATAAGTTTAGTAGTATATCCTATCAGAACTAGATAAAATGCTACTACGATTTCCATTGCAAATAAGATGTGACATGTCTATGCAGCACTCTCTACTCCACCACCGGTGGAGATACAGAATCAACTTAATAAATAACAAAGCAGTATCAGCATAACCTAGTACCTGACTGTAATTTTTTTAAAAAAGTATGCATTTATTGCTCAGAGACTCTTTCAGTAATTCCACAATAAAAAGTAAGCATCTCCGATGTCACTATTTAAGGTATGCATTTATGTATTTGAAGGAAGCCATAAAGCAAAAAATCTTGTTGTCATCAGCTAATAGAAGGGCATATTCTTTTAAGACTTAAAAGAATCAGCTCATAATTCACACGGAAATGAAATTTAGGCAGCTTCAGGGTAAGACCTCCGAGATCATGTAATTCCAAAATTCTAATCACACATGGGTATCTGTATAATACTATGAATTACGGACAAAAGAGAGATAGTCCCCGCAGAATAAGAAACATACTTTTCCAGTCTTAGGAGGCAGCTACACTGTAACACATGTTAATAGTCAACCAAGATATTCTGAGTGGAATAGTAATCATAGATTAACCCACAGAAAAGGAACATTAACTTATACTAGTTTATCCACTCAATCACCGTTGAAACCACACCAAAGCATCAGAGACCTGAACTTCTACTATTTTTGAAACTCATTGATTGTAAGTGATCTAGAAAGTGAATTTACAAACATGCAGTGAGCTTGTCACTTAAGAAAATGATCTATCAAAAAAGGTCTCTTGAAAATAACTTGTACCACGACAGGGAGAGTTTTCTATCACAGAGCTTTGTGCCTTTTTCTTGAATAGAAAGACTTGTCTAATAGATTAAAAAAATGTCAAACTCTCAGGTAGCATCACTCTAGATCAAGATCAAGCTTTCCTATGCCTCAGATTGTTGACATACCCATTGGCAAGGTACCATTCTCATAGGTTGTCTCCTGAGTTACAAGCGAAGCATCATGGGACAACATAAAGCTACATTGTTCTTCAACTTAAAGTTAATGCTGCCCTTGAAGAACTTGTTTGTTGTGTAATATGTTTGTATCTTCTTTGTTCCTCATCAAATAATATCCCAAATGAATCTACAATAGCAGAATAATCATAGAGGCAATAACTTGAGAATATCTATATAAACCCAAACAGTAACATTATCAAACAATTTGGAAAACTAATAACTCACTAGTTCAATTACTATGGTTGACTTGTTCTTCCCTCAGATTGTGATCTTGTGCCATTTCTGACCAAATTGTCCAACAAAAGATCTAAGCAAGCACAATAAATCTAGTAACAGAGTATCAGAGGCGAAGGAGCGATTTACCTGCTGGGTGATGGTGCTCCCGCCTCCGCCTTTAGGGTAATGGACCACAGCGCGTCCGATCCCGTAAGGATCAACCCCGATGTGGTAGAAGAACCGGCGATCCTCCGACGCAATGACGGCCTGAATAAGGTGCAATGGGAGCTCCAAGATCTTCGCCTCCGCCCCCTTCGAAGACTCCCGCAGGCGGCACCATCGTTCCCGGAAGTCGGCAGGGAGGGCACGGAAGAAGGCCCAAGCAGATAATAGCCCTGCGAAGACGATAAGCAAGAGGAGGGAGTTCGGGGGACGGAAGGGGTTCGGCGGTGGCTTCTCGAAGCACACTGGCGGAGGGAGCAGCGGTGGTGGAGGAGGAGGAAGAGAAGGAGCACAGATCGATGGGAGGCGGAGGAAGGGGATTGGGTTTGGGGCGGAAGAGAGGGAAGCGAACGGGAAGATAGAACGCGGTGAAGGGCGGTGACCGGCACCGCGTGGGGTAGTGGTAGTGATAGGAGGCGGATGGGAGAGGACGGGGAGCGGCATCTCGGCGGTGACGCGATTCAGCGCCGCCGGTTCGGGTTCGACCGCACGCGCCGAGACGCGGTTTGAACTTTTCTTCATACCGGAACGTCTTGTAAGCTTGTAGTACCGGTTTGACGAGTGCCGTTTTATTTCAAGTTTCGAATCAAATATTTATTCCACATTAATTAGCTCCACAAAGGCAAAAAAAAAAGAGTAAAAGTACATATATTCCTATACATCCTATTATATATAAATATAGACTAATTCAGTATGAATTATGTATCATACCAGTATGCTGATTTAAACTTTTCTTACAATAATAAGCAAAAAACACTGACCTTAGCTCCAGTATTGTTTGTGAAACAGGCCACACTTTCTCAAAGTAGGTCCTGATGCATCAGGTTTATGAACCAATAGTAGAAGCTCATCATAAACTGCTCATGTAGTGCTGCACCTCAAGCATGTGGGTTATGTAGTTTAGGTAGGATTTCATTTCACCAATGCCTTCAAGTAAGTCACAACATAGTTTTCTCAAGCAAACTTTAATATGATCATCCATCAAGCTATCATGCATAGCATAGATGATGGCTAGTAACTAATCCAAGAACTAAAATAGGTCGAGCAAGTTCCATCAATTAAGCAATACAACATACCATGAATCTGTACAAGTAATTTATCACTCATAAAAGGGGAGGACTAAGCACTGCAAACAAAGAGAATAGTTGATAGTTGAAACACTATCACTTTTTGCTAGATCACAGCATGACTGCTTCAACCTGTTTGTGAGCAAGAAAAGGTTGTTTGTGATTGACTGCAGCCGTGATCCCAAACATCTGAATGCTGCTGCCTTTAAGAAGTCATCTGCATGGATCTGGTTACTTCTTGTTTTCCTGCAACTGTAGAAGCTATCTCCAGTTCATAATACTTGAACAAAACAATTTATATACATATATGATCTCTAGCAATTCATCCAAATTATGACAAAGTAGATTTATATACATATTGACTTGGAACAGTCATTCATCTCAAAATTATGTGACTTTCTTGCATAGGCTCTTCCAACAAACTCTAAACCATGTTTTGTAAATAAGAAAAGATTAATCTATGCTATACTGTCCTAGGATTAATTGCTTGCATAACTACTGGGAGGCAACACAACCTGTGCAATGCAACATTTTGTCTGCTATTTCGGTCCTCATGATGCTTTTGCACTTGCCGTGCTCACCGAGGACCCTCTCCTCGCACTGCGATTCCGGGATCGTCATCCGTAGGACTTCAGATATCTTAGTTGCAGCTGCAAAAGACCACTTTAAATACAGGCATCTAAATGATTGTGTCTGCAACTTCCATTTGCAGCATTACTTTTACCTTCAAGTGTCTCATAGACACTGCATTCCTAATAGTCACTGTAGGTTGCTCAATTAAAGGGGACCTACCTAGTACCTAAGGATCATTTTAACCTTTATATTCCAAGAGAGAATACCAAAATCCTGATGATAATAAACTGCATTTATCATGCATCAAAAGTGTTCTTAAGAATCTTAAGAATGTTGCAAACTGGCAGCACAAACAAATAATTTTTTGGCACCGAATGTACTTTTCAAGCTTTGGCAATCTCAAAAGTCAATCAAAAAGGTCAATGCTGAGCCTGATGATTATTCGATAATCGACCATCTTATTCGAACCACTAGTAGAAATATCTATGTGAAATAATCAACCGTCTAATTTGGGTCTCACATTCTCCCATTATATTCCTGCAGCTACAGGATTTGTGCTGAAAAAGGGCTTGTGGCAAGTGTTTTGGAGCTGTAAAAAACAAATGTAGCTGTCCTACTATGGCTAAGATCTTGCACTGCTGGAGGCTTGAGGAAGGTTCAAGAGCTTAACCCATCTAACTTTATGGATTAAAACTGACACAAAGGGGGTCATCAATTTTGTAAAGGAAATGACTGTGGGTCCCTGGTTTCTTGGAGATCCTTCTGTTAATATACTTGCTATACAGGATAGATTAAAAGTTGAACAGATTTATATCTAGGGAGTATAACCTTGTTGCCCAATAGTTTTTGCTAGCTTTGGGAGATCTCAATGTACTCCAATCAGTAAATCAAATGGGTTCACTTGAGAATGATTTGACGCAGCTGCTGTGCAAATCTTAATATGGAAAACCATGTCACTGTGAAGTAGATGGTACTAGACTGCTAATCCTTAATACAATTAGATAAGGGTATTCACATGAAAGGCAAAAGTCTAAGATGAAAAATCAGTCTATTTTAGCATGCAGTAGACTTTTATCTCTCCTATTGGATCATGCCAAATGGATGACAACTGTTCTGGTCCATTGTCCATCAACTCACATGTGTTTATTTGTAATGCATCGATGCAACAAGGACCAATAGATAAGTAAAATAAACTGAAATGACAGTAAGATGCAATAATACATTGCATTCATAGTAAGACTAGTTTGTTGCTGTAACAAGTTTCAGCTTATGCAAAGTAAATCTATCATACATTTTAAAGCGTAAAGCTCGATAAGGAGAAAACAAAATTTTGAAGAAGACTCATGACAATAAGCAAGTCAAAGCATATAAGCCACCACAAACTTAAATGCTCAGATCTAAAAATTGTATGATGGCATGTCCCCAAACAGGCAAATAAGTAAACACTTCACAAGCCCTGACCAATGATCTCTTATTCAATTCAATGAACAGACCAGCACCTTAGACCAGACCATATACTTTACATTAAGCATGATAAACATATGCATGGGACCCGAAAAAAATCTGAACACCATTACTGGCTATGCCAATAATCAAGTAATTGCCAAAAGTATAACTTAGCAGCAAGCAATGCAAACAAATATAACATCACTCAATTTTTCTTTTGTAATTTTGATCAGTTTCAGTACATACCGGGCAAGAAAATGATAAAACAGAAGACAATGTCATTAATTAATAATGTTATTTCAAGGGTAACTAACTAGAGAAGAGTCAACAAAACATAAAGTTCGAAGAGTAAAACAAGCATACTACATCATCCCAAAATATAAGCATAAGTTAATATGGATACATTATACATACCCTCCACCACCAAAAACTAAAATAGATCCGATATCAGATACAAAAGAAAGAGAACTAGCCCTTATAGCAAAATACAATGTAATCTATCACCTCATAGTCTTATGCATCTCTAACAGCATTGCAAAGAGTTCCCTGCAGGTCTTCGCCCAATTCATCTCAAATTTCATCTCATCTTCCAAGTGCCGCTTCCACTTGTCCTCCAAAGCTCTCGCCTTTGATTTATTTATGAGCTTCATCCCCACTTCCAGTGATGCTTTTGGCAAACCATTAGTTTTCCAATGCTCTGCCACATGATGGGTCAAATAAGGAAAAGATTCAGGTTCAATTCCCCATTCCTCCCCATTCTTATTTTTCATTTCCTCGCCCCTGATCTTATTTCCCATTTCCTCATCCTCTTCCTCGGGGGCAACCAAAATTTGCTTTTTCTTTAGTTTTGAGTCCGTTCCCTTCTTTCTCTTCTTGCCCTTCTTATCATCTTCCTTCTCTGCATCTCTATCCACCCGAACCACCATCAAATTGTGTTTTGTCTCTTTCCTAGGGCTCTTCTCATCTTTATTCCATTTCTCCACATATCTATCCTCCTCGAGGGTCACCGAATTGTGTGTTTTCTGTTTTTTCGAGTTCTTTTCCTCTTTCATCCTCTTCACAGCATCTCTATCATCCTCGAGGGGCACCGAATTGAGTATTTTCGGTTTGTTCGAGCTCTTTTCCTCCTTCTTCCCCTTCTCTGCTTTTCTATCCTCCTCTAGGGCAACCAAATTGTGTGTTTTGGGACTCTTTTCCTCTTTCTTCTCGTTCTCCGCTTTTCTTGGGTTCTTTTCCTCTTTCTTCCCCTTCTCTGCATTTTTATCCTCCTCGAGGGCGATAGAATTGTGTTTTTTCTCTTTTTTCGGGTTCTTCCCTTCCTTATTGTCCTTCTTTACCTCCTCCTCGGGCCAGAGCTTGGCAGCGAGCTTGAGAACAAGGTCATCGCCGGTATCAGCGGCAGAATGGTTGTACTTGTGGCGGATGTGGCGAAGCCTGTTGAACACCTGGCCCGGTGAGAGTATATCGGAAAGGTAGCCCTTCACAAACTCGTAGAAGGGAGCCAAGTTAGACTTGGTCGGAGCAAGACCAGTCTGGTCCCGGAACTCGATGGCGCCCCGGAGGATGGCGGCGTAGTCAGCGGCCGAAGATTCGTTCGACCGCTTCCGGCCCGAATTGGAGCCCTTCTCCCCATCGCCTGGGTGCTCGCCGGCCTTGCGCTTCCGTTGGCCTTTGGCGGCGGCAGCGGAGGGGTCGCTGAGCATTGGAAGAGGAGATCGGCGTTAGGGGTAGGGTTAGGGTTGCAAAGAGGGTTCCGGGTCGGACGGCTTTTGTTATCCGCGAGAGACTAGGGAGTCGAGGGATCAAAATGTGGGGCCCTTCCAAGATGAGTGGGCCCTCCGGGGAATCAAGCAATAGGAATACCAAGAAAGAAGAATTAATTCTGTAACGTTTCACTGCACTAACGAAGACATTAATCGCCTCACTTCTCCCCAGTAAACAGTATTAGTTGCATGAAGAGATCAAAGCTAAAGCACGAGGTGGCTGCTGCTGCGGCAGCTGAAGCTTAAGCTGTCTCCGTTCACCTCCGCCGCACCTCCTCTCCCACAGACTGACCGAGAGTTCATCCCTCGCAGCCACTCGCCTCACCACCGGCAGCGGCGGATCCATGTCAGCAACGGTGACACCAGCTCCCACCACGCCACCGTCGTCCTCCGCTCCCCCCACCCTCGAGCTCGTTGGATCGCTCGCACTCCTCCTCAACAGCGCCATCGTGATCTTCAGCAAATTGCCACGCTCCCTCGAAGACGAACCGCTGGTCTTCGACGAGGAGGAGGAGGAGGAGGTCGAGTCGCGAGAAGCTGACCTGTCTCTCTTGATCTGTCCCATGCAGCCTATCCGCGGCGACGATAGGGCGACGGACATGGACCCAAGGCGAAACAGACGCTTCTGCTTTGGGAGAGAAGGGAAGGAAGCTGTGGTGGGGATTCTGTCGTTTGGAGTTGCTCTCTTTGGGGTTTCTTTTGTTGGGGAAGGTCTGAAGCACCACGAAGGGTTGAAGGAGCTTATGTGGTGGTGGTGGCGACGGCCGTGGTTGCCCATGAGGAGGAGCTGGCCAGTGCTGAGATGGGAGGGGGTGGTGGAGGCCATATAAAAGAGAGCTTGCCCTTGGTCAATGAGAAGAATGGAATTTGTGGGCTTTGGTGCTGCCGTAACTTGCCATGAACGTTTGGAACCATTCTTTAGCCTACTGTTCCTGAGAGGAAAGACTCAAAAGAAGAGTTAGCAGTTGCTTTCACCCTTTTCTTGTTCTTAGTAATGCAAGCCTTGACCTCAACACAACTTCGATCATCTATGGTTGTAGATATCTTTTATGTCATTCATGTTGCTTTAAACATGCTAGTAATTAGATCTTTAATCCATGAAAAACTTCAGATGGCTTGATGGATCATGTGGAGTGTTCTTCCAAACCAAAACCATTTGCCTTTCTTGTCCTCAACTTGTCTGAAAGGAGACCTATCTCATTTTTGCTACGACAGACGGGTTTTCTATCATAGAACACTAGTTTATTCTCTCGTACGCCAATCCAGAATCCGATTTGGGAGCATTGACCAAGAGATGCAGTCCACAGAAATGGCCTTAGACGGCCAGCTCCCGGTCATGCAAATGGGAGTGAAGAGTACGTGTCAACTGGCCGTCCACATCAGTACGGTTGGACGTGAAGCCAAATCTCCGAGAATATTGACTTTGATTGCTTATACCATACTTCATGGCGTTGGATCTAATCACCTCCAAATGCGAGGTAGAACCTGCGCCAGATGTAAAGAATTCTCTTCTAAGACTCTTCAGATCATTAGCTAGCTTACGATTACGTTGTTTTTGGAAGTGAATGCCACAGAGGAGTTCATGCAGCCTGGTGAGTAATATGGCATCAGAAGTTATGACAGGGCACATGAAGAAGTCTTGTTTGTGATGCAGTGATATCAGCCACACCGTATGAAGACGGAACATGTAAAGACTTGACTTTGTCACTTGTGGGATTCGGAGACTTTGACTGTAGGGTTTCACAGTCAATCAGATCTCTTTTACGAGTCACAGAGAAATTTCATGACTCGAAGAGGAAGAAAAGAGATTGCCATCCTTCTGATGAAACTAAAATAGATCAGTATTGATGGCAAAATTCATGATCAGAAGAGTTTTCCAGGATCAATAAGCTTCAGCAGGTTTGTCAGAACCAATGGATGAAATCTCCTACCGTATTGACTAATTTTCATGATTAGACACAGTCAAAAATAGCTGTATGCTTCCTCTGTTTAAGTCAAAGAATCCGTTAACCTCGAAAAAGAAGCAAAACCAAAGTATAAAAGTGATTCAAAGAGATCAAGAATGATAAATTCATAGTTTCCAATGGGAGGTATTGATGATTGATGATTCCAGTCAATACTTTGAATCAAATGTGGTGCAGTCTCCCCTTTTGAGAATATCAAGTCAGATAGAGGAGCAGCAAAGGAGATGCAGAGTATCAATAGAGGGACTGTACTCAGATATATTTTAAGATAATGTTAGTGTTTTCATTGGATCTCAGCCTCTCTCCTCTTTTTCTTACTGTGGAACTTATAAAGGTGGAGGGAGAAAACCAGAGATCTGAAATGTTGTGCTCTCCCTCTCCTGTGAACCTGCTTTCCATTGCCAATCTCAACTCTCTCCCTCTCTATCTCTCTCTCTCTCGTGCAGACACATTTTTATGATTCCGGACTGTGAGACGTCCCTTAGTCGTGATGTCCGATAAAGTGACGGCTTGTTGTGAACCACCAAAAGAGCTCTTCCTTCTTCTCTTCTATGTATGTTCATGGCCCGTAGAGAGAGGTCCATGTCGAGGGAGTCCAAAACATTCCATGGGAGACAACAACGGTGCGCAGAAGTCAAGCATCAACACAGTGATGGAACAGACGTGGACTAGTGGACTTCTGCATCTGTAGCTACACAGGATGAAGTCCTTCAACGCATGAAGCTAAAAGGTGAGAAGAAACGACGAGGAGAATCTCCATTAGTCCATGTTCAAGCAAACAAGCCATAGTGGATTATTCATTTCAGCTAGGTCGATTACGGTCCCACCCACAACAATCTGAGTGAGAGAGGAAGGAAGAGCTGTAATTATTGGATTACACCATCCACTTCTCTCTCTCTCTCTCTCTCTCTCTCTCTCTCTCTCTCTCTCTCTCTCTCTCTCTCTCTCTGTGTATATCTATATTTATATCGTAGAATTCTGCTAACAGAAGACTGAGGGATTCATTAAGAAGGTCTGAAGAGTATAACATCTTTAATGGTATTCTCTTCACTGTGTTGCATGGAGAGATCAGATGTGATCATTTCTGATGTGCTTCATTAGGTAGGATGTTACCCTCTGTGAAGAGAGGGAAAGGTCAACAAGGATGCAGATGCATGCATCTTGCATCCCTTTGATTCAACGCCCGACATTGAATGGCAAACACTACTCACTTTGGCCAATCTTCTGCTGCATGCACTGAGAATGATTTAGTGAGACGGTCTTCAGGATTAGTAAATCTGCACCTACGATTCTACATTAAATCAAATTCATCCCACATGGAAACCACCATCAGATCATTCTCCCCATTGCAAGCCCTTCAATTGACCTTCTTGGTAACCCAAGAACAAGCCTGGACCATTCCTTGGTTCTACTCCTGCTCCGTAACTATCTCTTTTCCTCTCCTATCGCTTGACTAAGATCGATCTAATGTGTACCGTTTCCATGTCTGGGACAGGAGGAGGAAGATGAAGAACGGATACTTAACGGTGGAAGTTGGCCTCCAGAAGGAAGGAGGAGGTGGTGGGTTGCAGAAGCTCACGATGCCTGTAACTTATATTAATCATCCACGCTTTGCTGGTCTTCTCGACAAGGCCAAGGAGATCTACGGCTACTGCTCCGGTGCCCCAGGTCCGCTGAAGCTTCCTTGCACGGTGGAGGAGTTCATCCATGTCAAGTCGCTCGTCGAGCGCGAGTCCGGTTGCAGTCAGTAGTCCTTCTCCTTGTCCCCTTGCCTTCGATGGAAAAATAGGCATATGTTAACTGGAGTCATCGTTTCCATAGCTCCGATGCAGCCATGAGGTCTACCAGTATGTGTGAGCTGGATGCATCAGTTCTGCTACAGATGCAGACATGCATGAGAACTGTAATAAAGAGCAGTACTCCATCAGATATCAGAAATAGATGCAATAATCTTCCTGTACTTTGTTGATCTCTTCAAGTTTGTCTTCGATGCTTGTTTAAGAACAGAGATGGTCAGTCACTCAAAAGATTTTAGTAGGCCAGTTGAAGACAAGTATTGGCCATGAAACAAAGACAAATGACTTGAGACCTTGTCAAAAGCTTGATGTGGGGAGTGGAAGTCTCTCTCATTACTAACTTGATGAAACTTGAATGATGCAAAACCTAAATGAATATTTAGGTTTGGTTTAGGCATGACATATCAATAAACCCGTATGAATATTTTTAATTAAATACCACAGATTTAATGAAAATTTTGATGCAGTGAATAAAAGTTCATGAATATTAATAATTAGATGATTAAATATTAAATATTAAAAATGATGCAATATATACTTGACATGTGAACAAAGCTTGAGTATATGAAGCAAACCTAAATGAAAAATGAGTACTATACGAATATTTTTTTATTAGAAACTAAATATTGGTGCAAAAAATTGATATAGTGAATGAAAGTTCATGACTCTTAAAGATATGATTGAGAGAATAAAAATCTTGAAATATTAATATATTAGGAAAGGATCCAATGTATATTTTAATATCTTTTCTCACAAGTAAGTTGAAGTGTGAATGAATTCCAAGTATATGGTCCAAACGTAAATGAAGAACATGTACTATAAACCTAAATGAAGATCATGTATTGTTTGAATATTTTTAATTAAATACTAAAGATTTGGTGAAAGTTTTGATACTCTTAAAGATATGGTTTAAAGATTAAAAATTAAAAAAATCAAGAAACTATGAAAGGACCCAATATAAATAGTTTACATGAAACCCCGAGTATATGGTAAAATTCAAATTAAGAACATGTATTGTGTAACTTTATATATATATAAATATAAATTTAGCAAAAATTTTAATACAATGAATGGAAATGAAAGTTCTTACAAATCCGAAAAGGGTGAACTATTATGAGAGGACCCGATAAATATTTTAATATTCTAACTCTCGCGTAAACTAATTGAAACTTACGTGTGAACGAAACTTGAGTGTCTTATATAAATCTAAATAAAAAATAAGTATTATATCTATATTTTTTAATTAAATTCAAGGAAAAAAAACTCATGATATACTATGATATTATTTTAAAGATGTAACTGAGAGGCTAAAAATTCCTAATTTTTACTAGTAATGGTCCTTTATCAATGAGATCCGATAATATGCATTCAATATATTTATAAGGTGGGAAATCAATAAATCAAATGGTGGAATAGCCACAATAATAATGACCCCATCAACTTTGATATGTTACTATATCTGAGACAACATCACACTGATTTAGACGCATTGTGTGCAGTCATGAGATCACAAGTACATCAAGGTTGGACGTCATAATGATTCATGAGTTAAGGACAAACTCAATATTTGTAGTTATGGGAGTTTTTTTTTTTTGCTGATCATATTTAAGAGTTAAAGTTTTGGATTTTTTTTTTTGCACAAGCACGATATTATCTTGATGTATCATCTTTACATAAAAATCAAAAAATGCTTTTGAACTACTAGTATGTACAAATCAAGACTTTGAACGTTAGTATTTTGATACGTAGAAGGTGTTAGCTAGTTTAGTCAGTAAATATTTAGATAATTTATTGTAAGATTTTAGATTCTAAAATCGTCTTTTTTTATTTATAATAATAATAATAATAATAATAATAATATTTTAAATAATGATTTGATATCAGTTTCAATAACTTATCATAACTCATGAAACCATCCAATACAAAAGAAATATAATTAGTAATTAGATATCCACCCACAATCATACTCAAACCAATAAAAAGTAAACATGAGTTGAAATAATAGATCAAACCAAGTTCAAATGTAAAATGTCATCACACAAATTTGGAGTTTTATTTAAAAAAATAAAAAATAAAATATGTGACTCAAAAGATCTTGTCTATTTGAGTTTCTTTATTTATGCATAATCTATATCTCAAATATAACATTTATTTTTTTTTTATTTTTTTTCATTTAATTATTTATAATATTTATTTTTTATGTTATTAAAAAATCTTATATATCAATCATTATTTCAAAAATAATTATGAAAAATAAAAATACAAACTCTAAACTAGTATTATTTTCTAATTAGGACATTTGAATCTTTAAAAGATTTTGAATGTTTTTAATTTTTATTTTACTATCAAATATATTTAAATTGTTAAGGGTATTTAAGTTTTTTCATTTATAACAATAAAAAAAAGAGTTTACTATTTATAGCTTTTTAAAATTATTTTATCCTAATTATTTTTTATTGCATTCTTTTTTATTTCTTTCTCACAATCCACTGATAGTCTTTAGCTTATGCTCCCTATCACTCCATATCACTTTATAGCCAATGCTCCAATATTGCTTATTATCATATAATCCTGCTTGTCATCCCTTTAATACTTATAAATAGTATATTTATAAATAAATATATTTATGTATATTATTCATATTATATATATTTCTAATATGATTTAAATTAATTAAAAATTAAAAAAATATAATTAAAAGAAACTCTCGAATAAACCCGTCATAAAGTGGGCCTTCTCCCCCTTCCCTCCTCGGGCCCATTACACGAGAACAAAATCGAGTCGACGCGTGCGTTGGAGTGTCAACACCGTCCCCCTCCCAACATATCCCGCTGTCCCTCGTCTCCTCCTCCTTCCTCCCCCCCCCCCCCTCTCGTTCCACTTTCTAGGGCTTTCCCTCGGGGAAATCCCCAATTCTTGTTCGATTTAATCCGCATCTACCCCTCGATTCTGTCGCGGAATCTCCTCCTCCTGCTCCAATGACATGATGCGATCTTGCGACCTTTCATGAAGCAGCAGCAGGTTCTTGGATCGATCCCGCGCGCCGCTGCCGGTAACTCTCGTCTCCATGGCGCCGCCGCTGAGGATCGCGATCGTCCGCGACGAGGAGACCGCCGCCGACGACACGCCGACGGCCAAGAAGACGCTCAGGGCCGAGTCCAGGGTCCCGCTCACCAGGTGGGAGGCGGCTGCCGCGGCCGCTGTGTTCTTGATCTTCGCCGTTGGACTGTTCTGTATCTTCCTCACCATGCCCGAGGCAGAGTACGATAAGATCCTCAGGCTGCCGCGCAACCTCTCCGACCTCCGCGTCCTCAAGTGAGCTCCTTTCTTTCTTTAGCTCTACTTCCATGGTGGGTCTGCTTGAATTTGGCTTTCTTCTTGCAGAAAAGCATAAATTGATACCTTCTCTTTCGTGTAATTCTCGTCCTGAGATATTATTTATCGTACGGGTGTACTTCCCTAATTCAATACTTTTAGATATGTGTGATCTTTTCGTCTAGTAGTTAGTCAGATGCATCCATATAGGTCACACACCAATATACATATGAACATTTCGATCAGCATAATGCCGATTAACAATCACTGCAAAAGTATGATATAGGTTTTCAAATGTAACGTTTAGAACCTTGGGGCTATTTAGCTGTGCTAATGCTACTAAAATTTGATTGTCATCATATAAGAAAACCCCAAATGTATATATATGATACTTCACATCTAGAACACCTCGACTCCAAGTAGTGGAGAACACCCTGTTTATATTCTTTGCCTTTGGGCATGCATTGTATTGTTTTTCCTTTTCTAAAAGGCAGCTTTTGAAAAGCTTCGTTTGGAATTGATTTGTGTAAGTACTAGCATATTGTGAATATGCTTCGTTATGAAAAGTTTGTTTCTAAAATTGTTTTTTGGCCAAATGTTATTGTGAAGCAAAGTCTTGACAAGCAATGGCATTGTTGGAGGAGATGGTGGTCGTGGCAACAATAGCAATTATTGTAGTAATGCTTTGTAATGGTGCAAATGTTGTTAATAGTGCTGGTGACCAATGGACTTGGTGACAACGGTGGTGGTGGTGGGGGTAGGGAGGTGGTTGTAATTGATGGTGGTGGTGGTGGCGATTGCAATAGCGATGCATGTCGAGGTCGAGAGTGATTGTGTCATAATTCCTTTTAGAAGAAGTCAGAAACAGGTCATGACCTTTTCTTAAACAATTTTTTTTAGTTTATCTTTTTTTTAAAAACCTTTCAGAAAATGTTAACAAATTCCCAAATTTTACAATAGCAACTTCTTAGTTTTAGAAATTAAATCTTCCAAAATTTTAGAAAAGCAACTTCTTTGATTTAAAAGTTAAAAAAGTTGCAAAAAAATATTTTAACAAGCCCAGACATATTCTTCTTGTTCTTTTCCTTCTTTTCTCCCTTTCTCTAACTTAGTGTTTTGCTATTTTTCTTTGACGAGGCTGAGATATTGCATTATCACATACTAGTTGGACACTTGTTAAAGATATCATTATATTTCTTAATTATCACCTTAGATGAAAATGAAAAGTGAGACATCCTGGTTCATATGTGCTTATCAACTTATTTCCTGCTCATAACACTATGGGATGAGGATTCTAGATAGCTTGTGAAAAATTATTTTCTTCTATCTGGTTTCTTGCCTTCTTTTATCTTTGTTTTGGATTTTAAACCAACAGCTATGCATCTCAATCAATTTATGTGTTCAATCTTTTGTAATACATGTTTGTAGGAATATTCTTTCGATCTAAGTATTCTTGTGTGGTGATTATGTTTCTTGTAAAAGCATGTGAAGCAGCCATGATTGAGTTATGGATGTCGTGTTGACAATAAAATAGTCAACTATGTCTTTCCATTAGGAGGGACTTCTAACTCTGAAGGCTCAAACTAAATTAATCATACGCGGTACCCTTACTTCACAATATGTATGTAGATTGGGATATCGGAGTATTGAGCTAGGAATCAGTTTAGAGGATTTCTTTTTTTCTTTTTTCGAATGAATGAATGGGGTTTGTATTGATATGACACTATATATTTTGGTCTCTCTTTTAATAAGTGATACAATATATTTCAATTTAAGATTGGTATTGTATAGGTTTGGTTTAGAAGCACATCTGGTCCATTTATCATAGTATAAAAGATATAGATTTCATTGGATGGTCATATTTTGGGGCTAGGGACTGTTTTGGAGGATGTTTAGCTGGTGACTTTGAATTATAAGTTGTTTATTTGCCAGAGCCATCGAATGATTTTTTTTTATAACTTTGAAGATTCTCATTTTTGTTCAGAAACATAGTCCATTGAAGAATTAGGATGTTCTTTTGTAAGCTGTAGTTTATTTTGTTAGCTTCATATGATTCATGTTTTTTTTTTTTTGCATATCTATCATTGATGGCTGGAACCAGTTGATTTGATGTTATGTTATCGTGCTTGGTGGTTCATTTTTAGAAGCAGCCGTGCACACCCCTCATTGGCTGTACTCTGTACAACCTTTTTCATTCTCCAACTGTAGTTCCATTGTATACTATTCATTCACACTGATGAACTTGTGGTACTATTATGTGAATAACTGTGGGAAACCTTTTCTTAAATGAACTCTTTGGATTTTCTATTCCAGATTTACCAGTACCGGCATCCTATTCCAAGTTAAGCAGAAATTAGTTTCAGATTTGCTTATAATCTTCTGTCGATGTGGTTCTTTATATTCACCAAGAAATAGTGGCCATATCTTTGTTGTAATAATATAATGTTGCATCATATTTGCATAGGATTTAACTCAGAATGGTATTCAAGTATAAGTAAAATAATTGGAAAAGGCACGTTGACAGGCACTTTTGTCCATGGCCATGACTCTGTTGTAATAACTTAATGTTGCATCATATTTGCATAGGAATTAGATCATAGTAGTCTTTAAGGAATTGGATCATGGTCGTATTCAAGTATAAGTAAATTGTGGCCATAACTTTGTTGTAATAACTTAATGTTGCATCATATTTTGCATAGGAATTGAATAGTAGTAGTATTCAAGTATAAGCCAAATAATTGTAAAGGGCATGTTGTAGGCATTTTTGTTCATGGCTAGTCTAAGATAATTATCTGGTGGTGTATGATAAAAAAGGTATCTTTGTGTTGATATTGTCAAATGAGTTCCTGACTTCCTTCTATCTTCTATTGAATGACAGCCTATCAGTTCACAACTTATTCTGTTCTTAATGTCAACTTTGGCTTAATGCTTAAGTAGCAAACTTCCCATTGTGAACTTTATTTTCTTTTTCCTTAGCAGTAGTATCTCCTTACAATTTGATTTGGATTAATATCCAAGACAACTGATCTATCTGTATGTAATACGGAAATTATGCTTGCTGTAAAAAAATGACATAATGCGCAGCTTGTTTACTTCTTGTACTTGGTTAGCATAGTATTAAGTTTTTCTTTTCCTGTTATTCTCTTATGCAGAAATAATTTGGCCGTATATGCCAGAGATTACCAAGCCAAATTTGTATTAGGATATTGTTCAATCTACATCTTTATGCAGACATTCATGATACCTGGTACTATATTCTTGTCATTACTGGCTGGAGCTCTTTTTGGGGTCATAAAAGGTGTTATTTTGGTTGTTTTCTCTGCAACTTCTGGTGCTTCATCCTGCTATTTCCTTTCCAAGTTAATTGGCAGGCCTTTGGTCAGCTGGATGTGGCCTGAAAAGTTGAGATTTTTCCAAGCAGAGGTACTGACAGAGTTCCTTGTGTGATAATTTGCCTTTTATTTTCTAGGCTGCCTCTGTTTATATTTGTTTTCTAGAGACCTTTTCAGGCTTATGGCTTTCTTCTTTACATACTTCAAAGTTCAATCAATTGATTAACAATTTGCTCATCTCAGAATCTGTTCTTTTCTGGATGCAGATAGCAAAACGCAGAGAAAGGCTGCTAAATTACATGCTTTTTTTGAGGATAACCCCATCTTTACCTAACACATTCATAAATCTGGCATCTCCAATTGTTGATGTTCCTTTTCGCATTTTCTTTCTTGCAACGTTGGTTGGTCTTGTTCCAGCATCTTACATAACTGTCAGAGTAAGTTTCTTTTTTATCTGCTAGAATCTACTTATTTTGAACTGTCATTTCGTTTTATTCATTTTCAAATATCCTCTTGATATCATTCATTTCCACCCTAGTTTGCTTGGCCGTGTAGCCAGCTAAGATGCACTAACTTGCTGTTGCATTTTTGCCCTATAATTCACTGGTGATGGATGTGTATTGAGATTAAAAGTTTTATTGAGACTTGATAGTATCTTACATTTGAGCAAGAATAGTGATCTTTTTCACCGTATTTAAAAGGTTGACCTATATGGGGCTAGCTCGTAGGTTTGTTGATCTTTTCACTCTTGCAAGTTTGAGATATTAAGTTAAGCCTTTGCAGGCACTGGCTGAACAGGCTGACCCTGCAACATGGCCCAGCTCTTTCAGCTGGGGCCTCTGAGGCGCCTACCCCTGTATCACCAGCATTAGGTTCAATTCCATTTATAAAATTTACAGATTTTGAGGACCATCATTTTAGAAAAAGATCAACCCAGTGCATGATGTTTTTGGGACTTGGGAGGATGAAATGTACAGTCATACCTCTATATTTTGAGGGTCATCATTTCTATGCTTTATAATTTGGTGCCATCTGTTACTGTGGTTTACCAACATCTAAAGTGATTTTGGTTTCTTTTTTTGCATTATTGTATCTATATCCTCTTTATGAATGCTGAGTTTCTTGCTCTAGTTATGATGGCACACATGTCACATCTGTGTTGTCCAAAATGCATTAAGATGAGAACGTGCAAGATCCGTAGACCTGTAGAATGTGCAACTTGTAGAAGATCTACCACCATCCTTGGTAGTTTGTACTATTGTTTAGATTAGCTTCTCTTGAACTTGAACATTCAGCATATGACTGTATAATTGACTAGGCTCTGGTGAATTATCTGAAAACATCTTGTTCTTTATTGGCATTTCTGGGTTGGTTGGTTGTTTGTTTGTTGTTCTCTTTTAATCAACTCAGCATTGGCCTTTGGCCAACTTTTATCATCATTGTTCATATCTTTTCCTATACAATACTGGGACTAACCAGACTCTACTGCTTTGTACCTGAAGGCTGGTCTGGCTCTCGGGGACTTGAAATCTGTTAGGGATCTCTATGACTTGAAGACATTGGCGGTCCTGTTCCTTATTGGATTTGTCTTCATATTTCCAACAATCCTAAAGAGAAAGAGAACATATGAATGAGGCAGCTTGCTTGGCGTTGACTTTTTTTGCTTTCTGTGACAAATTATTGTTCTCTGTCACCTGAACATTAGAAAAAGTAAGGTATAACCCTCATTTTTTTTGTTTTCTTTGGCCACGAACCTGCCTCATCCGCCCACGACTTAGCTTGTAGAATGAACCAAAGTGTAACTTTCTATTGGTAATACGAAGTTTCTGCTTTTGTTGTCGTAGAGATTCGACTTTCTCTTGTTGTTGATGCTATTGGTGATACAATCTACGGTTCTCATCTGTCTCGGTTCCCACAGGAAACAGGACTCCCCACAGCCTCTCGTCTGCTTCCGTAAGTTCCATGACGTCAGCTCAAGGATGCCATCGTCACTTCTGCGAGAGAGGAGAGAATATGGTTCCTGCCTTCGCCCAGACAGGAGATGCGAGCGTTGTGGGTCCCAACTGGTCATCCAACTGGATTGGAGACAGCCCTCAAATAAAAATGTGGGAAAAACCATGACGTATATAATTGTTTTTATATCATTCATTCTATGTTTCGTTAGGTTTTGATATTTGTTTTCATAAATAGTTATGAAGCTTTAAAACAGGCTTTATGACACTAAGAATGAAGCATCGCTACAACATTATTACTCTTTTAACCCTATCATATCATCAGGTCCATATGGCTGACATGGAAGGCCCAAGCCCATCACAACAAACCCGGCCCAATATTCCTCCTCGTAACTCGCATGTCCTCTGCTAACTCAACTGCGTATATTTCTAAATTACATAAAGCAGCATTGATATATTGATTCGTAACCATGGCCAAAGAAGCACCATCAATATTATGCATCACTATTATACCATATAAAATATCGTATGTTAATTCCTAGGATACGAAGAAGACATGCAATAATTAATTAGTACTACATAGCTTAATTGACGTGCAACAGCACCTCCAATGGCATATAGAAAAGGTGGTCATGGAGACGGACGAAAGAAGAAAAGAAGGCAGGTAGGATCATACGGCGGGCGCTGTGCGTCTGTGCCCGGTCGGTATATATGCAGCACCGAGAATGGGCATGAAATGGAAGGAAGAGACAGAGATGGGAGGAGGGCGGCAGCTACATGCGGAGTAGCCCCCCGTGCAGCGGATAGAGGAAACAAGGGCGTTAAGAAGCCATTAATGGCGGCATGTAGAACTCGACAACTTCTGTTTCATTCATGTAGCCCACCATTTCGGCTGCGGGCGCATTCACCTCCTGCCGTCAACTTAATCTACAGTGTCCTCTCTCTCTCTCTCTCTCTCTCTCTCCCTAAAGCAATGCTTGCATTTAATATCCATGAGGTCACATCTTGAGCGTCCGTCTCATCTGGTCTGAAAGATCCTCTCAAGATTGTGTTCGACGGGATCCTTATGATTTGACGACGATGAGACAGTTGAACGCAAAAAGATATATATGTATATATATATATATGTATGTATATATATATAATGAGACAAAATCCAAAGTGGAATGGAATAAATCTGATCTGTATATGATGTCAATCCATGCAGTGTACAGCTCTCAACAACCATCTCATCGGGGAAGACAACACGCATCCCTTGTGCCCCACTCCTGTCTCAATAGAATGTGATGTCCATCCCCTCCCTCCCGGAAGTGAAAGATGGGTAGATGGCGGAGCTGTGTTGCAGTACACTTCATCGAACAGAAACATCCAACACTTGCGGCAAAGCTTTAATGTCCATCATCTGCCATTGTCTTATATGTAAACATGGGAAGAACGGATGCCACTGAGTTGGTAACAATACCATCACTCATCTCCATCAGAATCTTCCCTTCATTACATCGACCTCCCCCCATTAATGACAAGCTATAGTCGTGAGATTTATTCCAGTCACATGCACTTCCCTCTCAAAGCTGTGGACAGGCTTGCATCGAGCTGGCCATGCAAGTGTGTTCCTTTGCTTGCTCAAAGACCTGCTTGCTTGCAAACCATGAACAGCATCTGCACGAGCTTCAATAGTTGGCCAAATATACACTGTGAAACCCTAAACAGCAGAATTTAAAGAACCCCCCCTACCTTCGATCTGTTTTCCCCTTTGCATGCATGCCTTTCTCGAGAGAGTGTGGAGGACAGGCATGGCTCACTATCATGTTGGCAGCTGACCCTGCACTGCACACCCCATTCACTGAGCTGAGACTGACCTGAAGCGAACACCCACAGCAATCCCATGTGGAAGCCCCCAACAGCACATTTATTTGATCGCTCCATTTGCTCAAACACTGCAAGCAGGCAGGAGACCGGCCAGTCCATCAGCAGTACCAGAAGACAAGGACAGTGTTCTACCCTCTCCATCAGCACCGCTCTTTGGGTGGCATCACAAGCTCAGCAAGTTCACGTTTCGGTGACCATAAGATTGTGCCTAGGCTTGTGCAGTTGTCTGACATGAGTCAAACATCACGGAAGATTTCCAAGAGATTGTTCTTTTGGTGTGTGTGCGTTTGGTGGGAAAAAGCAGGGAAACCATTTGAGTTGCGTGATGAGATCATATGCAGGAGGGAAAAGAGTGTCCAGTGGTATTGCCTTTTGCATTTGTTTACTACTTCTTGGTTAAGTTGTTGTAATTAGTTTGAGGAATCTTGTCAGGAAACAAAGATGTAGAAAGTGAATGGGACATCTTAGTGTGATGGAATACACATATTTTATGGGTAGGTGAGATCTAGAAAGATACACTTCACAGCATGGATAGATTTGGTGACACACTTTCCTTTTGTTGCTGGCTTCCTTGATATCAATAATAATAATAATAATAATAATCTGTGAAGTATTATAATAGTAGACTTTGGCCAATTCATCAGCAGCAAAAGCAGGAGGTAAAAAAAAAAAGATGAAGTACCTAAGGCTTAAGCCCTGACACAAACTTTGACCTCACAGAAGCATGAGAGAGAGAGAGAGAGAATGTGCCTCCCACTCTCTCTGCTTTCCCTTCAGCATCTCTTATAGTACAAAATTGCAAAGTTCTTATCTTTATGTGTAATGCAAAATTTTATTGTCTTTATTAAATATTAAAAAAATTATTATTTTTTGTCAAAAAATTGAAAACAAAAAGAGTATTTATTTATTTTACATAAAATAATGAGATCTGCATGGATGACATTTATATTGGCACAAGTAGAAATTATTTTTAAAATCATTTCTTGTAGAAAAATCTTACTTAATACCAAAAGTAGTTTGGAGTTGACTTTGACTTGTTTTATTATTCTTTATCATATTCCATAAAATATTAAGAATTTTATGTTATATATGTATTTTATTCAATGATATAAGTTAAAGTTCTTTGTTCTTCTTCCTTTTTTTTTTCTGTCTCTATTTTCATATTAGATCACACTAATCTAAGAACAAAGGAAAAAAATCACACATAACTTTCTGAATTCAAGTTGTCAAACTTTGAATAAATACCAGTGGATTCGAAAAATGAGTAGTGAAACTTATTATTGTTCTCACAATAATCTTGTTTCTCATCAAACAAATCACTGAATGCTCTCCAATTATCCTGTGTTCAATTATGTTAGAATTGGATGATGCCAACCAAAAGTTGAGACATCCATAGAACTCCATGATCAAACAAATCATCAGGTCATAGGATACTGAGAAAAGGATCAGCAACAAAGAAAGGTTGAGAATGAGATTGAGATACACATACTACAGAACAGATGGGATCAACATGCAACACTTTTCACTTCTTTTGATGCCATTCTTCCCACTGCTCTTTTCTCAAACCCTCAATTTGACACACAAGTCCATCAAGTGTAGTGTATGCTTCCCTGCATCATCTGCAAAATCTTAGTTTCCAACCATTTAAGTTCTGAAAAGGAAAGAACAATAACACAGAAAAAGAAGCTGAATTCTCTGATAGAGAGGGAGGGAGGCCATAATCATATAAATATTAACTTTTACCATGCTATCATACATATATCATCATCATCATCAACAACAACATCCATCTGTACAGGCCTTATTCCATATCTCTAACAACAGCTTGCTTAAAAAAAAATCTTCTCTATTCAGGAAGCAAATGAATTCTACTCCCTCCCTATTTTAGGGAAAAAAAGAAAAGGGTGATACAAAAGGAATCCAACTCTCCCTTGCTCCAATAACCATATACAAATTGGCTGAGCTACAAAATTCAGCCTCGCCCACCACCTGTAGCAAACTTAAAATTGCCTCTATAATCACATAATTCTTCCCTTTTGTGGCATTTTGAAGCTCCTGTGTTCAGATTAACTAGAGCTGCACATATATGTACTACTTTGATTGCTGTTGAGCTGATGATGCATGTCATTCCGACGGCCAAACTCCCTGCCTCGTATCTGAAGGTCTATGAGCTGATAAGTTATGCTAATCATTTTCCACAAAGATTCTGTTTATGAAATCTTGGAACCTTCTAGAGTAGAGCTTTGGGTCCACGGCCGAGATGGAATTGGGATCGGCCTGCAATGATTTGTAGGCATGCTCCAACTTTTTTGTGATGTCATAGTCCTGAAGGATATCGATTATCCCAAAGTAGAGGAATACATCATGGAGCTTGCCGCTTTGTGTAGGTGGTGACAATGCTACACCGCTTACAAATGGCTCGGATTCACTTCTTGTGACATGCTCTGCCTTTGCTGGCATGTTTGCCCCCAGATGGATAAAGGGTCTCCTGATCATAACAAAGAGAACTTGATATTAGAAGATACTATAGAAACTTATTAAGCATAACAGTCATATTAAGAACCCACTTTGAAATAGGAACAGCAATCATTATACAGATGACTATTAAGAGATTATGCTTTCTCTTTATGCTACACATGGAGCAAACTTTTAGGTCCAGATGTGCAATATTCATTCAGTGCTAGCCAAGTACATGACATTGGAGCTACATCATGATGAGAACCAACTGCGTCATACCACTTAAAACTGTGCAGGTCCTCTAGAAGAGGCTAAGAGTCCACAAGTTTTAAACTTATTCAATTACTCTGTCCATGGGAACAGAAGTATATCATTAGGTGACGACTAGTTGATAGAGAATCTTAAAAGTGACACAGAATCTTTAGTGGACTGAAATGACAACTTGTTTAAACCTAATGCAATGTATGAAAGCATAAAATAGATTAAATAAAACCAGCTTATTCTAGGCAGATACAGTTATTTAAATGGTTCCAAGTGCTATATCCTCAAAACAAGATTCACAAACAGCAATCCCCAATCTTTTGTGGTAACAGATAATGACCTGCAACTTACTCTACCACAAGTTCTTTAGGAAAAGGTAAGCCCGGTTTAAAAATGGCACTCACAATTAACATCAAAGTGCAGTAAGATAAGACATCTGAATGCTAGTTTTCTAGCATAGCAGGAACGAAGCTTAAATTAAAAGCACCCTTTTTAAATGAGGGAAAGGAAACACCACCATCATGGCATTATTATCATTGCTTCAAGGAGAATGTATTTTCAAAGAATCAACACTAAGCTTCCTCAATTAGAAAACAACCATCAAACTCAACACCAAAAAGAATACCGTGTGTCCAGAATCCCATTCACATCTTGACAGGTTGACATTGAGTCTCGTAAGTCTGGCCAGGCATCTCCTTCTTGAAAAGCTTCCTTTTTGCCATATATTTCTGACCATGCATCAATACTATGGTCAGATCACTGTCAACCATCCCATGAATTGTTTACGACTGTAACCAGGGTTCCAAAAACTATCGACTTACTTGGTGAACCAATAAATGGTGATATGCTTGTTTTAGATGCTGAGACATCGTCACAGAAATGAACCCCCACCAGAAGACTATAATCCATAATTCCTTCTGCTTCCAAGAACTCGCAGTCTCGCTTGATTTGTCTAAGGTATTAAGGTTCTATCAGACCAAATAACACAGAGAGGAGAGTAAAAATAACAAAAAATATCACATTTCTGCTATTAGAAATGTAAACTTACTCAAGAAGCTCTAAGTACCAAGATGTTTGGAGGCGAAATACAAAGTTGAGGTCAAGATCCTTAAGAGTTGTCGTCTCGTCAATCTCTTCCTCAGCCTTGTCAGTTGTCCGGCCATGGGATGAACCTTTCAAGTCAAATCTTCGATGTATATGATATTCCGAGCAGAACAAGTTACCCATAACAATGAAACGGACCTGACTTCCAACCAACATACATGCATCATAATTTGGAGAATAACTAATGCATGTAGCAATTTCTGTAAAACAGGAAGCAACACATGCAAGCTCATGCCTAATATCTGCGTACCTTTTGACCACCATTAGGTTTCACGCAATGCACACCATAGAATCTTGTGACTAACGAGTTTGCATACCGACATACATGGCGGTAATAACTGGATAACATCCTAATGAGAACCTGAACATGTATTGCAAATCAAATGAAGGAATGAATATCAAGGGCAATACATTGTTCCTAGGAAAAAGGAAGTGTGTACTTGAGTACTACCAACTGAGAAAAATCTATCTTTTTAGTCAAATTAATTCAGTAATTCAGAGAAGGTGAACCAGCACTAGGAGACCAGTACGATCAATAATCACGATAAATAATACCTAAAGGAGGAAAAAGGAGCTGCCTGTCTCACCTTCGCTTCAGATTTCTTTACTGTCTTAATCATAAAACGATCATCCTGGGTCAGGAAAAAGAAGCTTCCACTCTTCCCAGGAGAAGATAGCTCCCTCAGAGCATCATTTCCACAAATAGCCAACATATAATCTGCTGGATCCACTGAAAACAACTTCCTCAGGTGCCTGCAATCCAAGAGCCATGCCAACAATTTCATCACCCAAAAATGCAAACTCCTTTGAGTTAAGAATAACACAAATATATACCTAAAGACCATGGGGCAGTAATCCTTCCATCGGAATTCAACCGACAAGTGTGGCGGAGTAATCTTCGATCCCTCTGGAGGAAACCTCGTCCAATACTTCTCCATTGGATCAAAGTCTGATGGCCTCAGCTCCCTCAGCTGTGCTGAACCTGGTTTCCCAATTGAGTATCTGTTCCAAAAATCAAATTGACCAAGCAGCTCAACAACCACATTCTCAGGACAATGCCGACAATAGATAAAACCGAAAATTTTTTAACCATCTACCTAATGCCTAGTTGAAGGTTTAACATCAAATCATAGTTCTTGTGTCCCTTCGATATTGTCTGACCCGGCTTCTTCACTTCATGAGTTGATAAGCAGCAGGGATTCTGTCGCTGCTGCACTGTGCCGATGAGGGTGGCACTGCTCTGGTCGAAGGTCGATCCATCCCTATAAAGCATTGCTGCCTCAAGGGTGTCGATGATGTCGCAAGTAATGTCCCCAGCCTCGCCATCCAACTCCCATATGCAGATCCTGGGGAAGCTCTTCTCTGCTGCCGAGCTCCCTCTCCCAGGTGCTCCACCGTCGATTGAAGAAAGCTTCCCAGACAACGGAACCAGTGGTGTCATCGGCACCCCCAACTCATCATCCAAATGAAAGAAGGAGCTTCTTTTCCCGGGGGTCTCCTTCCGGGCGGTTGTGGGGGCGGGATAGAAGGTCCCGTTGAGGGCCATGGGCTCGCCGTGGCTCCAGCTGCCGACGTAGCAGCTACCGTCAGGCCAGGTAAAGACGCCGCTGCCCTTGGGGACGCCGTTCTCCCACTGGCCGTCGTATCGGTTGCCGTTGGCCCAGATAAGGGCGCCGCGGCCATTGATGACGCCGCCTCGCCACTCACCGATGTACTGGTTGCCATTCCGCCAGATGTACCGTCCTTGGCCCTCCTGGAGGTTGCGCCTCCACATGCCCTCGTAGTAGTCTCCGTTGGCGTAGGCTTTGCTCCCCAACCCGTGCTTGCGGTCGGCGACCCACTGGCCGCGGTAGGTATTGCCGTCAGCCCCGATGAAGGTGCCGAAGCCCTCCATCCTACCGGACCGGAACTCACCCTCGAAGGTGGCGCCAGAAGGCCACGAGAACTTCCCCTTCCCAGCAGCCTTCCCCCGTCGCCACTCCCCCTCGTACATGCACCCATCCACCCAGAGGTACTTCCCCCGCCCGTGCGGCGCGCTCCCCACGAACTCCCCGGTGTATAGGTCCCCGTTCGGCAGGGCCTTCTCGACCACCGCGTCCCCCGCCTCCTCATCGTTGGCGGGGCATACCGTGGGGGCCACCCTCCGCCCGCCTCCGCCCTGCGATCTGCCCCTCATCTGAACAGGGGGCTTCTCTCGATCCTCAGCCACCTCATCCCCGCCGTCTCCCTCCGCCGAGTCGCCGTCGTCGTCAGCGGGTCGCCGCATTCTACGCCCCCGCGCGCTCCCCTGCGATCGCAAGCCCTAATCTCCGGCGATAGCGAAGCGCATTCCTTGGCTGATAAATGCAGATCCAGCGCCTCTGTCCTCCCCGGACCTCCGATAACTCCCTAAAAACACACACCAAACGAAGCAAATCGATATCCAAATCGAAGCCGAGGACGAAAACCGGCAGAAATAGACGAAAAAGGCGGTTTCTTTAAGGGAAAGAGAGGATTAGGAAGCGGGAAGTGAGAGAAGCAGGAGGAGGCGTGAGCTGCCGCTGCTGCTTTACCCTTCGCTTGGGGAAACGTTGCAGCTGCGACGGGAGGAGAGAGAGAGAGAGAGAGAGTGAGAGAGAGAGAGAGAAACTATAGGTGGTAATAATATATATATATATCACTATAATGCTGTCATAATTACACTACATTGACGATAATACCCCCATTTAAATCTCTTAATTATCGGACTTGTCCCTTTGTTCCAACTTCCACCCCCAGGGGACAAAGCATACGCATCACGTACACTGTACCCGACACCGTTCACATTACCGGGACAGGTGTCCGTGGTCCCAACAAGGGCCCCATAACGGTACTCGTTGGCCCTACCTAAACCCTGTTCTAACAGAGACAGCTGATCCTATAGTTATCCTCCGGGGATTAATTTGATTTTATGATAATTATTATTTTTAAGCTGTCAACTAATAATCGGATTAAATCCCACTCCTATTTATAAAATAAACATAAAAAAATTATTATATCCAATCAAATTTTGTTGAGATACTCAATAGGTGTTTTTATATATCAAAGCATCCCTTGTACTAACCAAGAGGAAATGAAGGATTTGGTGATATTTATTGGTATTTAAATGTAGTGGATCTCTTTGTATGGGTACTTTGTACTAATTGGTACTTGAATTAGATTAATCTACATAATCACCATATACATGTTTGTTGATAGGGTTGAGTGAAAGCTAAAATCGATTTAAGTGGGCATAAGCTGAAATGATTGTGAGGTTGGGAGACCAATTCATTGTGAATGGGATTTGGAGCTTGTATTTTGTTGTTGATGGAGGTTGCAATGTGATCACCATGGTCATGATGTTGGGTTTGACATCAACTCGAGAGGGAAAAGTTGAAAGGGGAAGAAGGGGTTGCTGCCTAAAGGTCTTCATCTGAGATGATTTCACATGAATGCTTGTGTTGTGAGTAATTGGTGTGAAGGCAGTAAAGGCAAACCTTGTTCTTGTCATGACCCACAATAAATAATGACACCAAACCAGGTTGTAGATTTGGCAGGTCCACTTAAACTCTCGTGAGCTTTTGGTTCATCAAACATGTTTGATATGATTAATATATTATTATCTTACTTTCTTCTTTTTATTGTTTTTTTGAATAATATATGGTGAACATGTAATTTAATATCAAGATCTTACTATCGACAAATGACATATCTTCATTGATTAGTTCGTCGCAATAAGTGAATATGATACATCACCAAAAAAATTATCGAAATTTTTGTTATAATAAATCTATATTTCATATGATATTAATTATAATTTTTAGATAATATGGTTATAATAGAAGTAATGAGTTAAAAGTCAAAATATTTCAGCATTGCTATTATTTTGATTCAGAATGGCATATTTGTTGGCTGATTCTTGTTATTTTGCCACTATAATTTGTGATAATTAGAGGGGGATGATAATGACTTTTAATGTGTTGTGGTAGTCTTCAATAGCCCTATTTATCTCTATCATAAGGAACCTTTAAATCTTAACTGTGGCAAATTAGAACATATTTGTTGGAAGATCATCATGTTAATATTCATAAAATTATATGGAACAATTACATCTTTAAATCAATTATAAGATTGACCACATCAATTCTATATCACCAATTGAATTACTAAATGATAGGTTTAGTATTATTGAGGCAAACCACAATGTAGCATCAAAATTTTAGCCCATTTATTTTAGTTTGTGGGATAAAAATTGATGCAACAAAGGTTGATAGTTTATGTTGCTAAAGAAAGATGACTGAGGTGACCCAACACTCCCCCAAGTACAAATGGGCAGCAAGGAAGTGGCTTGATGAGTTGAAAGAAGAGTGATTTGGGAACTAGAAACTAATGGCAATAATGATAGTAATGGTTGCATCCATGTTCAATTTTTATGTACTTCAATATTCCAATTTTTGAACCATGAAGAAGCATCAATCAAATACAAAGAAAGAAGAAAAGGAAGGGAGAGAGAGAGAGAGAAGGAAAGACACCCCAAAGATCAACAAGAATCCAAAGGGTCAAAGTTTTACCTAGGTTAATGGGAAAAGGTGAAACAAGGAATCACCTCTTTTAAGTGTTGGACTATTTGATTCAAAGATTTTGGAATCTATGACCCATCATTCAATGGTAAAGCTGAAGTGAACAATGAAGACTAACCACTGTTTGAACAATTCACAAGGGTTAGGCCTTATGATCAAAGTTTCTTTTTCTTTTTCTTTTTAAGAACAAAAGTACTTAGGATCAAAGTTTACCTTTCTACCATCTATCAAAGTTAACCTTCAGTAAAGGAACAACCTTGATTAGCAACACAATTCTTATATGATATTTGTGAACATGATTTGTTATCTGAATCCATTTAAGATATCCAAATCCTTTTTTATTCTCAATATAAAATATATTTTAACTGAAAAACTTGATCTACTGTGTTGTAATTCAGTATTTGAATAACAACAAGTAGGGAACCTATATATATATATATATATATATATATATATATATATATATATACCACAAGATCACAGAGCTAAATTTAATTAGCTTATACTCAAGACTGGAAGTATGTGTCAAGGATCTTAGAATGACTCAAATAGATCAAGAAGATAGGAGTCTGACAAAAGATAAAGATAGGAGTATGTGATGTTTCTTTCAAGAAGAATAGGAATTGGGTGCTTCATGGACTAATTATAGTAGTGCATATCTTCCTTATATTGACAGAAGATAAATATGATGAAGCAAGGATTCAAACAGAAGCAAATTTAGTTTAGAAAAGATTTGTTCAAATTAGAATTGATGATAATGTATTGGATCTCACTTATCAAGAGTTTAGGGCTAAAAATATCATCTAATAAATTTTCACAACTAAAATATTGACATGATAATAATATATTAGAGTCGTTTATCAAAGACTAAGAGTTAAAAAAAAATAATATTAATATGATTATCTCATGAATTTATAGTGATTTTATTGCAAAAATTAATTTCTCCGAGAAGAGACTTATTTACACCAATAAATTAGTTTGTATTATCATTTCAAATAGTTATATTTATTGGTCATAACATCATACGTGGCAAATAATTGTAAGATATTATATATAATTATCAAATGAGTTGAGATTCAAATATGCCTAATCATTTTGTCTTTGGCTTCGAACAAAAAAGGAATTATTTTCCAATGTATCCTCCTACCATAAAATATAGATAGGAATAAAAGCCTATTTGTACCGTAGGAACAACATATTTCCTTTCTGCATACCCATCATTTACCTGATGATAATTCTTTGTAGATAAGGTGTAGTTGACAGCACTACCAAAAAAGTTCCAACCTCTCATCCCTACTGATGAACACAGGTGTTAGAAGTCACCCTTGGGAGCTGATGAGAGAGGTCTTATTCTGGTGATGGAGTTGCCTTTGTAAGTCCCTACAAGCATATGGTAGCAGTTCCTCTACAAGTGCAGGAATGCCTATGCAAGCACTGCATCAGTGACTCCCATAAACTTGAGTGTTGTGTCTCTCCACCAACCCATATGACTTTTGGTATGAGTTGATGGGGTAGCATGTTAGCCATTTGTGAAGTAGTGGAATCCCCTATTGGAATGTCCACTGAGCCCATCCATAATAACATGACACATGCTGCAAGAAGAAGTTGAAGATAGATACAAAAATAAATATATATGATTTAGCAACATGTATTACAAGCATAAACATAGGAGTTCTTGCACATCCATCCTTGTCATATTTTGAAAACAGCATACTTGCCCTTATAAAATACTATGATCCTTCACCTAGTCATGATTAATACTAATAATAAAAATTTAAAGATATTTTGAAGAATTGAGACATGGAGAACAGTGATCTAATCCATTGTTCTTGTTCTAGTCTTCTGGAAAAAAAACAAAACCAAAATTAGGCTAGAGAAGAGACTCAATATCCAATGTTGTTTTATAATTTATCATATTCAGTTATATAGTTGGCCAAAATTTACATGATCATGGAAGATATAATCTGCTTATTGGCACATAGAAGGAGACTATTTTTCTTATTAAGTATTGTTTGCTTGTTATAAGGAAGATCATGTACTTAATTAAGTCTTCTGTAAATATTCAGTGGGAAAGTAAACCTCATAAAATAATAATAATAAATTTTACATGAGAGTATAACATTCCAAATATGTTATCCAACCAATAATATTTTTCAAATTTATTTTTAGAAATAGAAACATCATAAAAACAAACTAGAATAGGCTGTTAGAAAATAATTTTCTGTTTAAAATATATACATCATAAAAAACAATTAAAAACAGAAAGCAATTCATAGATAAGAAACTATTTTTCTAAAAAGAACATCATTAAGTGAAGCATTTATTTTAAAAGGAAGTTAAAAAACTCATTTTGATTTTGAGAATTGGACCACCGCAAAAATTAATTAGAAAATAATTTTTTGTCTAAAATAAATTACATCATAAAAAATAAAAAGAGAAAATATTTCGTAGAAAAAAGTAATTTAAGAAAATATTTTTACTAAAAATATTCTTTATTTATAAGAAAAAGAACATCACAAAAAATCAATTACAAGCAAAAAAAAAAAGAATATTAAAATAAAAATTCCTGAAAATAATTTTGATTTTTGAGATATAGAAATATCACAAAACAAATTAGAATAGGTTGTTAGAAAATAATATTTTTAGAAAAATAGATATCATCATATAAAAGAAATTAAAAACGGAAAAAAATCATAGAAAAGTATTTATTTTTAAAAATAATTAAAATTTCAAATGGAGATGCGGGGTATCGAACCCCGTACCTCTCGCATGCAAAGCGAGCGCTCTACCGTTTGAGCTACATCCCCTGTTGGTTTTATTTCTAATATAAATATACTATATACTATATGTATGATTATACAAATAATTATGCACACTTGACAAGAAATCCATGATTCTGCTTCCCATATTACCACCACTGCAAGTTCAGGTCTTGCCACTTTTTGGTATGTCAATAAAAGAACATTAACTCCCTATGCTTGGATTTGGTCACTAAAATATTTCACCAATATAATATGTTCAGTCTG